GTCTTCCAAGCTTTCATGCTATCATCTGTGCACATCAAAAGCTTGAGAATAGAACCATACTGCAAATCGTAGCAGAAGGCAACTACTTTCCAACACCGGAGTCTCCGATCAGCAACAGCTTGAAAAGGTAATCACTGCCAAACCCACCACCCACGTCCATCAGTCACGACTCATCATGCTCCTCATCCTGTGGGCTAAATTCTGCTCGTTTGTCACCACCAATTCATATCTGCATACACCACCATAATCCATCCCAACCAACTCCTGCATCTTTCTTGATCAGACCCACCACACTTTACCAAGTTTGAACCCCACGCCGAACATGCCCGGACACACTTCACCCAAACCCTCAAAACCACGCTACACTACCCATCCACCGCTGCCCGGCGCAACATTTGGCACGCGTATTCACACACTCCACGACATAAACCCTAAAACGATCTTATCGTGCGCGATGGTCAAGCGACCATCAAACTACCACCTCATGTAGACCACGTCACCAATATGCAGTCTGACATCCAACAACATCTGGCAGGTCTTCCACCGATGCTCAAGAGGTTGAGCAGCCGACACTGTTCCAGCAACACGCACTTTGCCAACCACAATTATACAATCTCCTCACCCTTTCACGGTAAAAACGACTCCACACATCGTTCGATCCTCTCAACCAACCTACCCAGGCCTCAATTGTCATCCTTGCGCGCCATGTCATGCCCCTCATAAGGACTCCGAATAGAGACTCAAAAGTCGACACAGACAAATCGTCAAAAGCTCTCAGCTACACCTACCTTGCGAAAAAAAACCAAATGTGATTTTCGAGACTCAAAATTACAAGAAAGAAGCAAAGTCAGGACATACAAGGACTTCGTGTAGCTCCGCTCCTGACAGGAGCAGAGCACTATTTTCTTACCACACATGCATCACACATCCACTCCAACGCTCCCCGTTTCCACACTCCTATCCCAACTCTCAATCCCCGCCAGCCCCCTCACGGGCTACACTGTCAACTACACGCCCTCAATGATCCGTCCTTTCCACTGCCGCTGCCACAAACCACCGCAACCCCCACATTCCGTGCCCCGCACACACACACTATCAAGATCCACTGATCTGCAGCTCCGCAGATGCCACCACCTCCCCTAACTAATTCAACCCCCCACCACCACCACCACAAAAAACTGCACTGCAAGCATCAACGCAACCTCCCACCCAAAACTCCAACAAAACTGGGGCACTCACTATTCGGGATTCATCGTGCCTTCCTTCCGGATCCGTCTTCTGGGTATCTATCTGACTCCGATCGCCTTCCAATTGGATCCTCTTTCACTCTCTCGCTCTGTAACTCTAGGTCTGGCTATGGCTATGGCGGAGGAGGACTCTGGCTCAACTGGAGGCCATGGCTATGGCGTAATTCTACGCCCCCCTTCACTCCCTGCTTGCTCCACCTATCACAGCTGGGCCAGGCCTTGCATCTAGGATTTTCGAAGATCCCCCCACGTGCGTGAGTTCTTCGGTTTTCTTGTACAATTGGTAGATGGATCAAGGTGTTGGATCCGCCGTGGAGGACAAAAGTGGGTTTTTTCCAACAATCTTAAGCATTTTATAGGAAGTGTTTTTTTAATGACTTTGTTCAAGCCACATGCAAATTATTGAATTTTGTGTTATTCATGAGGTTTCAAACACGGCCCCATGATCCTGCTGCCAATCTTGGGTCTGAATGATTTGTTTTTTACATGCCATTATTGCCATTCTAAAACGCTACAATGAGTGCAGACTGCACTTTAGTGGGTCAAAATTATGTGGAGTGTGTGGTTGGAAGGTGATGTTGTGTTCATTCTTCTGTTCAAATTGACAAGGATTTCCCATGATTCACAATCATACACTTTGTTTGCATTTCAGTTTTAGCAAATGCCCTGAGGCTATGTAATTCATTCACAACAGATTATTGTGTATATCATTGTTAGGAATGATGCATGAGCATCTATGTTGTAATTGTGTGTCCATAATCATGAAAGTAACATAGAAGTCAGCCAGCCATTGTTGTAATCCTTTTGTCATATTTTGTTAAATCATCTACAGTTTTATAAAATTTGTGGATTGATTTCATATTTTGTGCTTGTGTTAAAGTATAATTTAATGGTTTTTGGATTTTATTTCAAAATTGGTTGTATATACATTGTTGATGGCCATGGGTTGTGTTTGAATTTGATCTTTATAAATTATGTTCTACTGGAACAAGACATTTTTTACATTAGAGATGCTACTCAGTAATTAAAATAATACTATATTTTACAATTCATTGTCATATTGAAATGACCTCTGGGAAACTTTTTTGCATTATGCATTTTGTATTTTAACCATGTATTGGTTAAATTGTGTTGTTTCATGACGATTTTTGTGAATGTTAAGTTTTCTATATATCACTTAGAAGTACTATTTGGCCTCTTATTATCACAAAGACCACGTTAAAGTTGTAAACCATAATTAATCTCAATAAAACTCAGGTCAAAGTCTTTATCCTCTACTAATGCTATGATAATCACCAATGAGAATAACCCATAATAAACTTTTTAATTTTAATTTTAATTTCTTTAAAGGCTATGTAATTAAATTACTTGTTTTGACATAAGAATAAATCACTTATTTGTAGTCCAATTAAGTTTTATTTTCATTAAATAATTTATGTTCTAATTTTAATTAAAGTTCGCAAAGTATTTTGTTTTTAAAATATTGATGAAGTTATCTATAAAAAAAATAACAAGGACTTGATTAAGAAATGGAATGAATCCATATTATTAAAAATAGTTGCAAAAACTATTGTACTTGGACTTGTTACTAAGCTACTATAAACATCTATTAAAAATAGCATATAATTTTTTATATTTTTTCTGAAATAATTAGTAGCTTGATATAAATTTAATTATATAATAGAAATTTACTAGAATATGTTAATTTATACTTACTAGCAATTCCAACTTCACATTCTTAAGTTACAAAGTACAATTCAAATAAAAGTTAGGATTGTCAAATCTTTTGCGCATTTTTTGATAATTGATATATATAAATATAAATATAAATTAATTAATAAGAAAATTAATTTGAAAGTCATCTTTTTCTTCTTTTCTTTTCAGTAATTTTCGTCTTTAAAAACTCAGTAATGTCTACTAATCGAAACAACTTTAAAAACCACTCAAGTGTAGTAAGCCAAAATCTTACACCCCTTTGATAAAATACATTTAAAACAACAAATGTATGTTTGATGATAACCCCTTCTAAAATAAAATATCCAAAATAATTTTTTAGCGCAACAACAAATATCAAGTTTACACTAACAATACTTGTCCAGGAATTTGTTTGAAATAAAACAAAAAAACTATACATATATTTTTTATCTAATTTTATCTAAATTGTTGTTCTCTTTCTATATGTTGTTGTAGATTTCTTTCAACAAATGAATTCAACAAATAATATTGCAACTCCAAATACATAGTTGTTAAATGCCAAAAACCTTCTCTAACAAGACCACCTTGCCAAACGGGCTCATACTTATCAAGTACACAAGAGCATCCATTTGAATGTTTTGAATAATGCAAATGGGGCGTTGTTTCCGATTCTGTTTGAATCTCTACAAGATGGAAACCCCGTAAGCTGTCAGTGCAAAAATAGTGGGGAATCACGGAAACATAAGTGCGGCGTTGTCCATGGATGGGATCATCACCACGCATGTATCGGAAACGACGATCGATCGATCGAAAGACACGATCACATCTCATTCCATTGAGTTTGATTCCCTGAACGGAGAGGAAACAATTATGGTTCCGGAGATTGCAGAGCTCATGGTTGTGGGTCTTCCGTCGCAATTGTAGTTAGTGGTTACTGACGTGAGCGTTGTTGCGTTGCGTTGCGTTGTGCGGGGGAGCAATGGCACCGGGCCGCCTGATACGCAGGGCGCTGCAGATGCAGAGACTGCGGGAGGCCATGGCGGAGGCGGGAGCTGGTTCGCACCTGGCACGCAAGAGGGTCCCAATGGAATTTTGTTTGCGGAGACGCCCCTTCTGCCTGGCCAAAAGCGTAAATGGGAAGATTGGGAAGCCTCGCATTATTTCACCGGGATTCTGACCACGCTCATGCTCACTGTGGGTCTCCCGGCCAAGCCAGACACTCGAATTGAGACCTGGGCGCACATACAGGCTTTGGAGCGCCTTGCAGCGGAAGAGGAAGCTGAGGCGAGCTAGGGTTCGCATTGTTGGAAAACAAAGAAAAAAGAAAAGAAAAAGGTAGTGCAATGCGTAGTCGTGATTTGTGGGGATTGCCTCAACCTGTAGGTGTCCCTCTATTAGGTCTTCTTTTAATGCTGAGGTAGTCGTAATACTCTCTCTTGAGGTTACAATGGAGCAACTTGAAGTCTAAGGTTAGCGGAAGGAAATTAACGACGTTTGGGGCTTTTTCTCAATGGTACCTTCGCGATCTTGTGCCGATTCTGTGATGATTTTTCCTCATTCAGACACGGGTTGATTCCTCACACACTCCCAAGGCATTCTTTCAATCGCGGGGTATGGAATCCTGCTCACAAAGTTACTGCTAGCAGTGGTGTATAGTGCATTCCACTTGGATGTGATGTTTCTTCAAAGTGGTTCATGTCAATTTGCGTTGAAGAGTTGGATCGTAAAAGATCGCAGGAATCTGCAATGGAAACAGAAGAGTGTTGCAATTTATTTATTTAATTTTCTGTTGGTTGTACTTGAAAAATGAAGGATCACGAAATGATGTATTTGTTGTATTGATATTGATTAGTTAAGAAGCCTTGGGCACTTATTATGAGCTCTGTTGCTTTGATGAGGATTGTTAAGCTCTTAAGTGATGATCCCTGCTTTGAATTGTCTGCATTCGGTTCTGCGCTCAAACTGAATGCAGAGATAAATGCTCTGATCACAAGAGCAAGGAACCTCACATACAGACAGGTCCTGAACCGAACAAATTACATGTGGCAAGGCGTATTGGTGTCTACATGTGATTTGACAACTTCATTGTGTACGAAAGTACAAGGAAGGCGAGATCCAGTTTAAGAGTGCAAGGCCTATCTGGGTCTTGAAATAATAATGTCCGCTTTGAAGTGGAAAAAGTTATGACCCATGATACAGACATTACTGAAGCAGCCCAATTTACGTTATCTTGTGCATGCTATTGGTGGGGAACTCTCAATGACCGGGGAAGAAATGGGGAATGAAACTGCGTCTTCAATTACAACCCCCTTACTATTTCACAGAACGAATTTCAGTTCAGTTTTACAGTTCGCATCCCTCCCGTGGTGATGGGCTTGCCAGCGAACGGTCTACGAAATCACAGGCGGGCAGTTTCAAGGCCTTGATGGAGCCTATGGGCACGCCCGTACGTGAATCGACATCGTCCAGTTCTCAACAGCCACCAACAAGAGTTTCCATGTAACCTGCCGGGTGCCACTCCTCTCTTCACTACCACAAGGAGAAAATATCGTTCTGCTGCTGTTTTTGCATTCTGCTTCTCAGATTGTAAGCATCCTCTTTCTTCTGGTACTTTGAGTCCGTAGGAGGAAGTGGTTCAGTGTTCTTTATGTAATCGTCAATAACTGATCTGGATTGCCCACAAAACTTGTCACATGCGGTCATGTGGGCTGCTTTGCCTGAAAGTATTATTTCTAATTCAAATTGTAACAGATTGACGCTGCACAGCGAGAGCGTGATAATTTATGTATTTGTGCACAACATGAAATTTGGAGATGGGTTAACTTAACGGAGTTTACGCCTTTTCACACAGGAGTTCTGCACTTAGGTCGAAGATGTCGATGATGCAGCTTGCGAGCGATGCTGTGGACAGACCTTCGAATCTCGGAACCAAATCATAGCATTTCATGTAAGCAAATATGCATTTCACTGGCCCAAAACTTCATTCAATGCTTCCTCATGTATATTTTTAAAACTAAGTCCCATTGTATGGTTCCTAATTTTATTTTAGCTTCCTTTTTACGTTTGTCCTTCTTTCATTGCGTCAGTTTCATCTTTAGCTTCATTCGCTGAGTGCACACGAACTACGATACACAAACTTCTTTGCAGTCCTCACTGCTCAAGTCCACGACATTGCATTCTGCAAGCTTGTACTACAGCATCGAGTTCATACAAGTGCTTTTCATTCTAATTGTATCGGCTTCTGTTTCTTGAAACCTGTGCTGTGCATTCTGCATGTTCGCCCATATAGTTCATCTTTTGAGCGTGTCGAAGAGGCAGTCCTTGAGAATACCAAGTGAACTTCATGGGCACCTCGACCCGGGGGTACAATCATCTGGCAAATGCACACAAAACACACAAAAAATTGACTGCAGCAAATGTGCAGTGCAATAGAGCAGGTACAAGCTCTCATTGCTATTAAATAGAGAGATAATAGTGGGACATCATGTTAAGCCCAACCAACGAGAAGCCATCCATTCTCGCCACATCAGTGTCGGAGGGGATTGTCCAACAATGTTGCACTACTGGAGGAAAGTGTGGCAAAGATTGTGGTTCAGGGAAAGGAGGACATGTCGGAGACAGTTGCAGATGTGAAACAAGTTGTAAATGCAAATCCAGAAATCATCAAGGTTCAAATATCGGTTCTGAATCTGCTGATCGCAAGGATATCATTCCAGGCGATTGCTCTGATAATTCATGCAATCTCTCAAAGCCCACAGACCCCACCAATCTTAATGCAGTCACCACCAATGGCAAAAATCTGGCAACTACCACCTCCCAATTGTCAGAGAACAGACAGGAGTGCGAGAGGAAGAAAGAGGTGGACGTGAAGAAAGAAATTGAAGGGAATGAAGAGAAAAACAGGAAAAGCGTCGAGGACAGAAAGAGGTGCCCACAATCAGGTGATTGTAATGGCTTAAAAGACGACACTTCTATAGTATGGCATTCGAACCAGGGGTCAGTCGAGGGAGTGTTCCGATCGCAAACTAGGGGTGATTCTCTTTCGGAGCTCACTTTCTCGAGTATGTGATTGTTTCGAGTGTGGTTCAGGAACTACGGCATGCTATTGGAAACTGGTACAAGCAAGCGACCAATCCAATTGTAGATATCATACTGGCGCTGTAGAAATTTCTTGCTGACTGTCTACATATGGTCTTGTGGGTCGCACTAGTGTTGTCAAATAGGTCAAGATCATTGTTCGAAGCAACTATACATGAAAAAAATTATCCTTAGAGCAGCCCATGAAATAAGTGATGAGTTTGCAGAACAGAAGGTCGAAACCCATGCGTCGAAAGAGGAGTGGAAGCTCTGTGCGCTAACTGGAGACGACTATGACCATCATGACAAGTTGGGTTTGCCTTTACCCCAGGGAGACAAGTTGAAGGCCATCTTGTTTGATATTGACGGAACGATCGCGGATTCAGATCCGATCCATTTCTTAGCCTTTCAAGAGATTCTTGCTGAGGTAGGCGGTGCCGTCGATCAAGTTCAGGTTTTTTGGCATTTCATCGTTCTATATTAAAACACAGGCGTATTTCCTTAGCAGGATATGAGCATATCTCGGGAACATCAGTATCTGGTTGCTCTTTGGATTTCCAACTACCTGTACAGAATTTGTTTTGTAATGTAAAGGTGAATGATTATAGAACGGGTGCAGAGATGTGGATGCAGGCAGGGTATAATGGAGGTGTACCCATCAGCCATGAGTTCTTTATCCGCCAAATGAGCGGTAAACTGAACTACGTCATCGCAGACGAACTCATGCCTGAAATGGAAGAGAAAATGCGAGTTGAAATGATGGACGAGAAGGAAGCTCGCTACAGAAAGTGAGTCCGGCTCGAGGAATCCTCATTGTGCGAACTCATAACTTGCTTCGTCTTGTGCGAGGTGAGAAGAAGTGAACCTGTTGATAGCTAACACGCAATACACGGTTAGTAAACGCCTTCTGAATAAACTCCGTAGATGGTGACCAGGTTGGCATCCAAGGACCTCCAGCCCATCCCCGGCTTTCTCCAGTTTATCGAGTACGTGAAGAAACGAGGGCTTCGTCGAGCAGCAGTGACAAACTCTCCGCGATTGAACGCGGAGCAAGTCATATCCGCACTGAATATCCCCGACTTCTTCGAAATCGTTGTGGCGGGGAGTGAATGCGACAACCCCAAACCGCATCCCGACCCATATCTGAAAGCCATCAAGTTCCTGGGCCTGGAACCGAACCAATGCCTGGTAATGGAGGTAAGAACCTCTACTGTCGGTCATTCTACACAACTCCCTGACACATCGAAGCTGGAAACCAAAACCTGAAACTCGGCCACTAAGTCCTCCGATTTAGGGGATTCTTTTGTGCGGAGTGCAGGATTCGCCATCAGGCGTGGCGGCGGGAAAAGCAGCAGGATCGCCGGTGGTGGGATTGCTCACAGGCCATCCCGGTGCCGTGTTGAAGCGCAGTGGTGCGTCGGTGTTGATCCAAAACTACGACGACGCGGCGCTGTGGATGGCGTTGGGCGAGGATGCCTGCGCCGCCACAAAACTCTTGTCGCCGAATCACGGGCCGGGGACGGGGTCCTCGTCCTCCTCGGCCGGGTCGCCGCCGCCCGTGCCCGTCACCGTTCCCACCTCCTCGTAAGTGGGCGTCATTGCGTTCCCATGAAGACACTACGAAACCTAATACATAAAGGGGAGTGTATTGTCATCTCCATTATTGGGTAAATAAATGAATGGGTATTATCCCACTTTGGAGAATTTTCTTGCCCTAAAATTGGATAGGAATGGATAGAAGTGAATGAAGAAAGGAGGATCTTACTTCCTTGTTTCTCCAGTCAAGTTGCATAGATTAGAGGTTGATATTCTCATGTTTTATGATTTTTTTAAATATTTTTCTTTCCTTTTCTTCTAATCTATTTAAATGGCTTTTTTGTCTTTTGTTTTCATAATTTAGTGCACTGAGGACAATGAAATCATATTGAAGCACTGTTTTCTTTGTTATCCTATTTAATTCCACTTGTAATAAGTTTTATAAGATAAAATGTAAAATCTTTATTTTGAGCAATGTTTCCTCTTTTCAAAATATAAATATTTTTTGTAAATTAAATTGTAAATTTTAATTTTAAAATAAATAAGTTTTTTATTTCTACAAATAAACTATAAACATTTGATGTTAATTAAATTGCTTATTTTTTTATTAATTATTAAATTAGAAACAAAATTTAAATTACTGAGTATTTTGTTTAAGCTTTAGATTTATTAATATTAAGATCTCAAGCATTATTATGCAAGAGCCTCTTCTAAAGTACTGAATACTATAATTTCACATCAATGTGCAACCATTAGATTGAAGCAAGAATCATTCTAATTTAATTCTTTATGTTTTAAAAAGTTAGATTTTTATAGTATAATATTTTCTTTCTATCCTGTGATTATATTCTAAACATAAAGGAAATTATGAAGCTTTATTATGATTATTACTGTATTTGGTGGAAAGTAACTTTCTACGAATACTTCGGAAAATAAAGTATTATTTGAATTGGAGGTATCGGTTATAATATAATCTGGGTACTTTTACATTTTTCTACGTCCTTTTGTTACATTTCTAGCTTGAATTCTTATCAATTTATGAGAACATTACAATTTAATGAAAACAATATAGTTATATTTCATTATTTTTGAACTAAGTTCGCATTGATTGTAAAAGAAATGTTCGAAATCTTAGAAAATACAACAAATAGAGAGAAGTATATTCTTATGCACATGTATATTGATGAATGCCAACTAATCGTAACCACGTAAATATCGTAGGATTTTACCAAATATCCCTTACTCCCAATCAATCATTTTTTAAGCAAGAGTCCCCCTGTTCTCAGCATGTTGGGACAGTTGATGCCTCTCATCGTCAAGGATAATAATGGTTAAATGTTGAAAAAAATTCGCAGTGAAGAATCCAAGTTGAAAATGCAGCAATGAATGGAAATACCTAGTGGATGTTAACACATTGCTAATATGACTCGAGAATTTGGATAAGTTCAAAACTAATTAGCTTTCCAACTAGCGTCAAAAAACTGAAATAATTATATTGAGGTAATTCGAACATTGGAGGGATTACAAAGCAACAAGGAAGCAGGATTTCCATTCGGAGACGACTCGGCGTACGTATCAAGACTTTGACTAATAAAACCCACAGCGTGTGATACCAAAAAAAAACACTATTTTCTCAGTTTACCCGTAAGATGACAAGATCTTGAAGTTGGCAGATAGGAGCGAGACTACGTAAACTGATGTCCAATCGAAGAATTGGAGAAACATTATTCACTCTACTTATTCAGATCGCTGTAACGAGAGCGCTGTAAAAACCCACTAACAGAGATCAGAGCTACAGATGCACGAGGAGCATTGCTTCTACCGACTTCAAGCCTTCACATTCACGAAGTTAACACCCTTCTCGATGGAGGACATCAACTCGGATTTCAATCCTTCTAAACCCTTTTGCTCATAATCTGAAAGGCTGCCCAAGCCTAGAATTTCCTCGATACCATTAGGACCCAAGCGCACCTGTCATGTCAAAAAAAAACAAAAAAAAAAAAAAAAAAAAAAGTGGAACTGTTACATGGTGTGGATAAACTGAAATTACTCAACAACATTCTACACAATGCAAGTCAATTGGCACATAGTGAAAAGTCAAGCTTCTATTGGAGCTTCACAGCTGGCATGCGAAAGAGAAGGAAATTACACCTTTGATGAAAAGTAAGGCAAGCCAGGAACAACAGTTGATGCCACATAGCTGCACTCCACGATATCTGGAGCACCATTGAGGCCCTTCAGGCAAGACTCAGCAAAAAGCGCTCCAGCATATCTGCAAAACAACGTGTACAGATCAGAACGGACAACCAAAACCTGCACCATAATGCCGGTTATCAATTCATAAATTAGAGCGTGCAAAGACTTTTAAAACAACATGAAACAGCCCAACCTGCGGCTTCCAGACCAATGTTTCTGGCACAGTTAAGAAATTGAACACGCTCAAAGGAAAAGGAAACTTACGCCATTGACAAAGTAGCAGAGCCCTTGCCCGCCTTGGCTTGTACAACCTCTGTTCCACCATCTTGAGTCCGCTTGGTGAGAGCCTCGAGTTCCTCGTCACTCAAATCAACTTTAGGAGTGGCCTGGAGCGAGGAATTTCAGGAAGAATCAGCAGGCTGGGAGCAGATTAACGAAGGAAACAACAGACAATAGTATACAAATTACCAGTAACTGCCTCTCAAACACGACAGCCTTCACTCGCAGAAGGTCCATACACATCCTTAACACGCTAGAAAGAATTATGTATCACCCAAGAACCCAGAACCCATTGAAGACCGTTAACTATTCAAAACATCTGCATGCAAATTAGACGCAAACCAAAGAATAATAAGTATTAAGATGTAGTTGCAGAAATTACCTGTGAAAAGAGAGGAAGGATGGTAATGCCAGCATGACCTCCTACAACAGGGACATCAACATCTATATACAACCCAAAACACACGGGAGTCAATTATGGATACACAATGCACAGAAAGCACACACCCTTGGCAAAGGAACAAGAACGAATTTTCCAAGACTCATCAAAAGGGTTCAGTGAATCAATGAAGACAGAATCTTAGCTCGAAAACAATGCAAGCTATAAACAATCTCAGGATTTCACGAGTCTTGATACGATAAAGGCAAGGTGCAACGCAGTAAACTAGAAAAGACAGCCAATCCCATTACTTCGACGTTAACACTCGAGGATTCCGACCATATCATTAGTTCTCACTGCAAGCAAACACTCATTCGTGATGCAGCCACATTTTGACCACCTACTCGCCAGTAATATAATGGGATTCGATGGAACTAAAAAAAACTTCAAGCTGTTCGACAAAATTGCACACCTTTTACATTGAGACCCTTCTTGTGGGCAAGAAAGGTTCTTGCTCGCACCACATCCAAGGTGGTGACACCAAAAAGCCTCTTGGGATCATAAGTACCCTTCTGCTTGAATATCTCGGCCGCAATGGGCACGGTTGAATTGACCGGGTTACTGATCATGTTCACCAAAGCCTGAATATCCATCATCACCACCATCTTAGAAAAATGTCGAACTAAAACACATTATTCCTTCACAAATTGACGTGCTTACTCCATTGAAGGCTCCAGAGACGAGAAGATCCTTGTAACCAGTTCATATCTCTGCGTAACATTAGAATCATGAACTGCATATAAGAGCACGCCGACTATTCAGAGGAAAGAAACTTACCCCTGGACAATGCTCAGCAATGGCCGATGCAAGAGACTTCACGATCCCAGCATTGATGTTGAACAAATCATCACGGGTCATACCGGGCTTGCGGGGTACACCCGCAGGGATAATGACTAGATCGCAGCCCTTCAGTGCCTTGGCAAGCTCCTGTTCTCCAGCAAACCCCTCCACCTAAAAAGCGCAAATAAGGAGTCAGAGGCATACTACAACAAGACGCAACGTAAACCAACCACCACTGTCCGTCACCGTCCAATTAAAACAACAATCCGCAAGGAAACGAACAAATCAGGACTAAAAAACCAAAACGGCCACTGCAAAACTCGCACATCGCAAACGAGAACCAAGCACGAATGCAACACTCACATTAGCACCGGTGTTGATGTGGCTGAGATCGCTGGCCACACCTGGCGTACCGGCAATATCGTACAAGGAAAGATCGGTCACCAAGGGGTTAAGCTTCATCAAGAGTCCGAGAGGCTGACCGATACCACCGGCAGCTCCCAAGACAGCCACCTTCCGCTTGGGAGTCTGCGACGACATGCATCGCACCTGCTGCTGGGGCGCGGACGACAGCGCCCGTTTCAACAAACCCGCGGCGGCAAATCGTGCTGCCATTCTCAAATCCTAGCGACGAATCGTGAGGCAATGGGAGAAGGGGTGGGGAGTGAACACAGCAACGGAGATACAACGCCAAAGAAGAGAATGCGCGTGAAGACGAGAGCGAGAGAGAGAGCCTCAATTTCCACACTCGGCAACAAAATTAGGGTTTCACGAGGCCATGGACAAAAAAGGTGCTGAGCTTTGCGACGTCGTCCAGATCCAACTCAAGTCCCCGGAGCACCGAAGCTTCGATGCTGCGGGGTGGCCGAATCAACGTGCTTTCCCACACCTGGTTCCTTTTTTTATTTACTTATTTTTATTTTTTAGTGTTTGTATTAGAAATTGTTAGAGTGGTAATAATGAATATGCAAAGAGAAAAATATCGCATGGTTTACAAGGTTTTTAACAAATGCGTATTGATGTGAATTAATGTAGTCTTGAGTCTTAAAAGTTCGTATTGATTTTTGTTGAGAGAATTCTTAGGGGATAGATTAAGATATATACAATGTTCCCAGTAAAATACTTTCAGAGAAAATCTATGGCTACATGATGTCTTCAACAAAACCTCAAAGAGTTTTTATGTATACCAAAGTTTGACATCGTTACAAGATCCCAAAAACTATAACGTATCATGTAGTGTTTTGGTTTCATTTAGATACAATGCAACATCTGAATTCATCACTTCTGTGCTCAATGATTGGTTGATTGTTACATATTCACAGCAAATCTCTCTTACTGCACAACTTTATGAAGTTGAGTCAAGTTCCGACCCGATGAGTATCAAAGCAAGCCGTTGTGACAGAAGCCAGCCATGAACTGAAATCCTCACACGACTCAGATGCGAGTGAAGGTTTATGTGGGAGGTCTAAAGAATTTCATAAACTAGCGACGCTAAACCAAAAGACGAAACTAGATATGTAATTCATGACCACCTCACTCAAACATTACATCGAGTCCTGCTTGGACACCAAACATACATCAGACGAGACTAGAATGAACAGTAAACAGTTTCTACAGGCATCAGAAGAAGACACACGAAGAGAAGCCCTGAAGGTACATGTGCAAAGAACCCTTTTTCCTACAACGAATTGGTTAGAAAAGTCTTATTTGGAAAAAAAATTAAGTCACAAAAGTCATGCCTACTAGGTTAACAACTTATTGAGTCCACACCTACGCATGCAACCTATCAAGCACGAAAATGAGATTTACAAGAACATGGCACCTATTCTCAACTAACACCACAAATTTACACCTGCAGCCAGTCTTTAGTCAAAGACTGATCCTCTAACACCAATTTGTGAATGGTGTGCATCTTGTACTCATCAAGATTTACATCCAGAGATTTTTCGACATCAACATTCCCATCCCTGGAATGAAAACTAGTAGTGTTTAAACGTATTCCCGGATAAATTGCTCCACCTGCTCCACCTTCCCAGTAAGAGCTGAGACTTCAGCGATTGTGATTTTGTTGCTACATTGGGTAAAATTAAATACTTCTCCCTGCACTCCCAGAGAAATTTCACTAGAAACATCGGCAGCTGACACTGAGGTCCTTGATTTTCGGAGCTTGTTTCTGTCACAAGAGAAACGCGATACACATGGATATTAACTATTTTCAAGCAGAGTGACGTACTTTAGGTCTACCTACAGCCAATGACATGCTTCAAGAGTAGAAGTTCGTTAATACAGACCATTTTTCTGAAGTCGCATTAAACCAAGTCAAGTGATGTGTACGCAAAAAAGCAGAAAACGGTTCAGTTGACTGGTATAGGCACTTACAGTTCTTTCTCTAGCTGCCCCTTGATAAAGTTAGAAGAATGAGCGGTTATTTTGTCCATTTTGTTGCATGTCAGCAGTATGGGAATCCTTCTCTTCACCACTTCTTTATTCGTGAGCAACTCGTACAGATACCTACATTAAAGTACACTTCGAACTTAGCGGAAAAGGGTTCCTCATTCACATAAAATAGGCAAAATTAAGTGATAGAAATATTCTAGCACGTTCCAAACTCGCATTAGCAATCTGACTTACATCCTACCCGGAATAAACCGAAATCAGTAGATCCACGAGATGCAACCTCTTATGATGATGCTAAATGAATTTTGAAATATACCAGCGAAGAAAAAACTGAAGTGAAAGTGTTACTTACTCTGCAGCCGCTCGAACATGAGGCATGAAATCAAGGGCATCCACCACAAAGACAAGGCAACAAGACTTTGGCAAGAGCTCCTCCAGTTGAGGTCTCAACTTGGGATGTCCCGGAACATCCACAACATGGACAGGCTTTACTTTTCCTTTCTGTAGGCATCATGGAAGAAGTTAACCAGTTTTAAGTTTCTCAGGACAACCATATATGAGGAAACACCCTTCACCATGCATTGATCTGTTGCATCTATGAAGAAAATACTGTGCTACATGGGCGATTAAAGTGCAAGAGAAAGCACCATACAGAGCAACCCATGACTCCACACGTTAAAACATCATCTGAGCCGTTGAGGCGCGCGCGCCACAAATGGGAGCTTCAGGTTGCCAGTGTTGTTACAGTGCTAAGTAAAACAAGTCACATGCGAAAAGTTCTAGTTCTCTAGCATAGAGGTTGAGTACCTTTGATGTCTCGGAATGTAATATGAAGGTATCAGCGTTAGGTTCCATTGACGTGACCGCCCCTTGATGAGTTGTGCCATCCCTTAACTGCGCCATAGAACCATTTACAACAAGGGTTAACAAGAACTTCAAAAATCTGATTTAGCAACATATCCGCCAAACTATGTCTAGTTAAACGACTAGAAATTTGTGGCCACAAAATCTGCGTTTTTCGACTTCACCCTTACAACAGCTTAGTACAAGATAGGTACCTGATAAAAGAGCGCAGTCTTTCCAGCGCCGTTCAACCCTACCAATAGGACAGTTTTGGACTTCTTCCGCTTGAATGTGACCCGAGTAACTACAGTTCAAGAAATATTTGCCAAAAAGATTAAACATTCAGGCTCGCCCAAACCTAATTGAGAAGTCAAAAATCGAAATATAAGGTGTGCAAGACGTAGGAGGGGCTAGAACTTATTAAAACCTCCAACGCCCTGTTTCACACTTATGAGCTAGAAAGGTAGCCAAAATTACCGGAAATCCAAGGTATAAAAACAAAAATCTCTTCGATGCTTCCATTGCTAAGCAAAAACCCTATTTCATTAAAAATAAATAAAAGAAAAAAGGTGAAGAACTAGGCAATGGCGCGAAAGGAGTGTACCAATAAAAAGAGTCAACAGTGTTACGAAGAGCACGGCAATGGTGGTGTAAAGAGCAGCCTGGTCGTGCTTAAGGGTTTCCCACTGCTGGGAAAGCCACTCCGGCATGGCGATGCTCAGCTGTTCAGACACCTTCCCAGACTGAAGCTGTTCCGATCCCTCCATGGACTTAAAAATAAATAACATAACATAACATATATGTATTATCAGTAACATTATCAAAAGACTACAGAGGGACGAAAGATACAAAACACATCAGAACAGACCACATAGGCACCCAGCAAATAGTTCAAACCCATTGTAGCACTCAGAAAACTCTCCTGGGCACCAACTCGATGCACACTCACAACCAGTAGAGTCCAGGTCCAACCTCGAAAGCTACCTCGGGCATCCTGCGTTCGTCGAGGATGAAGCTCCCGCTGAAGAGAAAGATTCCACTCCACCTGGATAAGAAAACCGCAAGAGATCACATACACACCTCAAGTCCATCACCCACAAGGCTAAACCCTACCAATGGCGACCGCAACACACACCCCAAATCTCCAAACTACCAAACCAGCTTCAAACATCACAAACCTAAAACAGAAAGAAAAATAATAAAACAAAAGATAGATAAAAAAATTGCTATTCCTCACAACAACAAAAAATAGAATAAAAACTCCAAAACGCGGAGGGGATTGAGCCCCGCCATACCCTCAGCTGCGAGCTTCGTAACCAAAACTCCCGCCACACCACAACCTCGCACGATCAATCCAAATGAAGAATATGAAGAAGAAGGAGGGAGAAGAAAACGCGGCAATGTAAATAGATGATGCACGAGGAAGGATTTTGCAAACAAACTAAGCGATGAGAAGGAAGGAAAAGGATCGGCGACTGACTGGTGGGTTTGCTTTTTCTTTCCCCTCCCTCTCTCTTCGTTTGTTTGTTTGTGTAGTTGGGTTGTTCGTAATTGTTTGTTTTTGTTTGCAATATTTTTTTTGGGTTCGTAGGTAGGATCGATGCATACCCGGAGGGAGTATGCAGCACGTGGTATCTCGATTTATTGTTGCATCATCGGAGTTGAAGGAGGACGACGAGGACTCGGCGCCACATTTCCGGCGTAGTCTCCGAGACGGAGCCCCCCCCCCATTCCCTGTTCACACGGGGACTGGTCGAACTGGACTCTGACTCGATATTCCATCCATGTACATTCGTTCATTCATTCGCTGATACGTTCATTCATCCAGTTGTTGTTGTCTGTCTCTCGTGTGGTACATTTGAGCGTTGTGTTTTTGTTTTTCTGTCTGAACCAAACCTCTTGTTTTGTAATGTATTTAAAATAAATGAATAAATAAATAATTTAGGATAAATTTTGAGATTTATTTTTTATTTTTTTATTTTTGTTCTCAAGCAACTATTTGATGCAAATAGTAATACCAACTTGTACCTTGATTTGGTTATTAATTTTTATTTATTTCTCTAGGACATAAATTAACAGGTTAGAATAATAGATTTACACTATCTTTTTTAGATTGTGTGGTTTTGATTTTGCATCAACATCTATTTTTATGCTTATGCAATTCTATATAAATAAATAAAAATTAACATAGTTTTATTTATTTTAAGTCTATTCATTTTTATTTAAAATTCATATTTTAGCTCCTTAGTTTTATTCAATTTCTATTAATTTATCTTAAGCATAGTTTAAAATTTTGAATAAAATCATTAAAATTGGTACTTTGAATTTGTTCACTTTGACTGATAGTCATGTGGTGTCGATGGAATTAATCTCTCATGTGGGATGAAGATTGAAGACATTTTGACATTCTATCTGACAAATAAGTCAAATACAGTAAATATTGCATTAATTATGCCTGGATCCAAGTTTAACGTGCAGAAATTAATTGATGATTTTAAAAAAGAGTTTTGCATTGTGATGCCAAGATTAATGACGTAATGAATATACGTATTCAATACATTATGTTTGTTGCTGCTTGATATTTTAAAATATCTAGTGCAGATATACAGTAAAATAACATCTTAAGATGAGGTTACAAAAATGAATTTAAAAAGATTGCAGAAATATTCAATATTGTGATCCCAACTTTTCCTTGGCATATTTCGCACAGGAAGAGTTAGAAACATGACATAATAAAATTTTAAGCGAATTTAACAAACATGAAAACGTAATTACTGTACCAAAAATATACAGAAAATCATCAAAGCAAGCACTCAGTGATTAAGAAAACATCACGATCTGACATGAAACCCTTTGCCCCCATACATTTACATTTTAAGTCAGAATCTAACCCTTAAAAAAATATTGGCCATTGATTTCTGTCAAGTTGATCCATAATTGCCACTTATCAAATCTCATGTGACAAATGCATAATTTAGAAACTAGGGTTCTGGAATTCAAACAATAATTCCTGAACTAGATCTTGTTCTGTAGAATTCCCCACATGATGGGGAATTAATTGGCTTACGAGGTGAGTCCCCAGCTATGGTTTGAACGTTGGCGCTTGCTTATCCCAAGACTTCTCGTACAGAACCCTGGGAACAAAGTATTGATAAGGGTCTTCCTCCCTCTTCTTCAATAGATAGGAGATACCTGTCTCAATCTCCGACTTGACTTGCTGATACAGCGCCGACACGGTTTCTTTGTCGTTCAAGGAGTCACGCAGCTCTGAAAATTGACAGAAATGAATCTCATCTCCATGCAGTGCACATAATACTTACAAGTTGGTGAAGCAGACGCTGGAAGTTGCATACACGCAATAGAGGGTCACAGTCATTGCGGCTTAGCTTACCGTGTGTGTAAATTGGCTTCTGATATATGAAGTACATTCGAGGGGGAGGCGTTGGAATGCCAACGGTGCCCAACATGTGCCCTTCCTCTGGTACTCCCTCTTTCGGTGATCTGAATGAACGACCCACATGATGTTTGATTTGGTGCTTGACAAACTTCCAATGCATACTGCTCATACGACGAAAGTTATTGCAGCTTTGCATCTCATGACTTCTATTTTAGCGGGTTGAGTTGATACCTGGCACGAGGCATTTGGTCACCCATGCGCTGAAGTTGATCTCCAATTACAGGTAAATTTAAAATCTGATGCTGATCCGCGATTATCTGCTCCAACAGAAGTAGCATGTATTAATGAACTAAAAGTACAGAATCATTGATTAGTTTGACTGCAGACACCATGGGTAAAACTGCACTGGATTAGAAGTAGGAGAAAGGCACCTTGATAAACTCATCACCGCCTACAGCAGCCATGGGTATAATTACAGCACCATGCCGGATGGCAGTTCTCACAAACTCTGGTTTGGCTGGCCAAATCAACTTGTAGGACTCTCCCTGTAAGAACTAAATTTAGAAATGAAATACTTGTATCCGCACTTAGAAACAAATGAAGATGGAAAGTCTGCAGGTTCTGTGCGAAAATAAGAATAAAATGTTGATGAAAGGCAATACCCTCCGCTTGACAGCTTCCCTCATGCCACCTGGGAGAAGAAAGACTGTCTCCTTGGCAGCCAACAACTTGTAAAGATTGCTCCCGGATACAGGAACAGAGCCGAGCAAGCGCGCCAAATCCGGCAGTGAAGAATCCACCATCAATTCTCCAGGTTGGTCTGCACATGGAAAATGTAAAACTTTTCAGTTGGGCCCTCTTCTAATGTTCTTAAGCTTCAATTTAGATCAACATCTGCTCGAGAGTGGAAAGAGTATAGTCTGTTACCAATTGTCAAGAGTGGATGTGCTAGAGCGCGAATAAACACGTCCTGATCGTCCATGAAAGATCCTATTATAACCCCTAAATCGAATCCCACGAATGTGTGATTGCAGACAAGAAGGATCGGCCTTTCTTTGGTGAGCTTAGGCAAGCCTCTTTTCACTGACCCATCTCCCTTTGCGTGGAAATACACGGGACTGAATAGTTGCTTCATTAGGCTGCAACATTACCAAATCAAGTGTGATCAGCGAGTTACCAAGGAATCTGGTATTGGCATTCTGCTACGACTGATGATACAAGAGATAATCGCAAACTTACTTCAGGTGAGCCTTCCGAAAGCACTCTTTCTCCTCGTCGGTAGGGGGTACGTAGTCTGTGACAATGTTGCGTAATTTAGCGCGCCTGTACATGTGAGTGGCTTTGATCAAACTCGCTAGCTCAATGCCATCTTCCTGGAATTCAACGACAAGGATAGAGAATGGATTGTTCAGTGTGTAGTGAGGAGACAAACAGAAACTCAAAACGAAGCTTGAATGGATGTCAATACGCATGCGGGATTGTGTCCAGTATGTTCGGTCGGAATGGGTCTATAACGGTGTGATTTACCAGAAGTAGGGCACCACGGCGGTCTTTGAAGATTCGACCCGTACCAGAGGGTATAGATTGCCGCAATCTCTCTGCCTCATTTTGATTCTGTGGTTTTCCACTGCACAAAAGATTACGGATATGATCATGACGCAACACCTTAACAGTGTACACACTGCGAACCGTTTTAGTCACTGTGCCTGCACGTATCTCCAGAAATCGCGACAGAATATCAATTTTCTGCACCCACATGAAAGCTTTAACCTAGTATTGAGCACCAGTTGCAGGAGACGCAAAAAAACTAGCTTACCTGTACAGCACAAACACATCAGCCTTGACATTCTTCATATCAAATACAGCTTTATGCGCAGCCATCTGCAACTGATTCACCTTCCGCCGGGCTACATCTCTCGACAAAACTACAGAAGCAGTCTGCAGGATCCATCCACAATATCAATTCTTCAACTGTACCCTGTTATTCTCGCTCTTTGAAAAACATTCGTCTTCTGAAGTGTGGCCTAGTCTAAACTTTGAAACAAAAGTTAAACAAACGAAAGGTGTAGAGTTGTGTTCAGTTAGTAACTGCGAATGAATCTTACAGCAATAACTTGAAGCACGTCTCGCAAAGCCACCATAAATTGCTGTGATTTCTCTAATCGTGGAAGAGAGGGATCCACTATGGCCTTTACAATGGTGAGAGGATCACCTGTCACCCCCACCAGTGTTATTCCTTACATTTTATTGAGAGACCAAATGGACAGTAAGCTGTAATAACTATAACGTCCTGAAAATAACACAATGAATCTCACTACTGTTGGATACAAGGAATTGGTATCGGCCTCACCAATGCTCATTGAGAAAAGAAACGGAATCGACGATGAAACAGGACCAGGAGCCGCATCCAGCACGTCTACACCTGGAGGCAGGATACTACTCTTGTCGCACCAAGTCGCTGTAACACGAAATCAAGTAAAAGCAGCTCTACTCAGTCAATGTGAAAACAGTCCTTATTCACCCGAGGATGTTCACTTGTCCACCAGGTACACGAAGAAGACTATAAAGAAAGAGTCTGTGAACGTACCGGGGTCTACAAGAACTAATACCAAGTCGATCTCTGGATTGCGAGCCGCAACGGAAATGGCGAGAAGAGCGCCATATCCTTCACCCATAAGATATATGGGTCTATCCTTTCGAAGTGACGACTCCTCTCTCACGGCTCCTTCAATTATCGAAATCAAGTCTGCGTACAATTTTTAAAATCGTCAAAACAAAGATTTGGCAACCTCCATGCGAATAATAACGACGTGTACGATGTAGTCAAATGTTCCACACCTTCATTTGAGGATTCGTCCGTGACTGGAACATGCAATCGCCGCACCTCGAACAACCTGCGCTCAATTCGATATTTCGTCAGACCCGGACTCTTCAAACGTGATCATTCGAACTCAAATTATTGGTAAACAATAAGGGATGGCATACTAACCGTGCAAGCTTCTCTTGGTGTAGTGCCAAGCTCAAGCCATTGGAAATGATATCTGCAAGAGATGCAACGTAAACGACCTTCGTAAGACATCAAATTTGGCGCCCTCATGACAGTAAAACAAGAAGAGAATTATACCAGGTGCTTGAAAATCCGAGGGAGGAAATAAACTGGAAGGCATACCTGGAAGGCAGAAAAATAGAGGAGCATTCTCTGGTCGACTACCAGCATCCTCGTAACAATACCACGATGGTGGCCCTGTATCTCGCTTAACGAGTTCTTGAAGCTCCTTCCACACCAATTGTCCGCTGTGCTTCCCACTCCAACTTAAACTGGTCTTTTTGTGATGCATTCCTGGACCAACGGTGGCGCTCTTGTCCAATGTAACCACAGGAGCATCACGAGAATGTTTGGAAGAGTCTGCGGGCGCTTCTGTGAGGTCCTTTCCTTCATGCGATGCACCCCGCTGCAGCTTGGGCTTTCCGAAAGAGTCCTTTAATGTTCTTGTTTCATTGTTAGACTTACCTTTGCGTGGTATGTCAATTGAAGAAAAATTCGCCATCCCAAGAGTCATTTGGAGTCTTTTAGGGCATTTTGGAACAGTTCTTCTATTTGACAATCCGGGGAGAGGCGGGTAGTTAAATTCGGCGAATTTTCGTAACGTGTTCGGTTGCTTGGATCTTAGGAGTGAGGTGTGGGGAAGCAGCAAGAAACCATGCCCAATGGCATCCATTCTGTTGATACCGAAGGCGTTTCGTGAGTTTTGGCAAGCATGTGCAAGCTGTTCAGCAAGTGATTTGACTACACATCGCCCAGAGATCGCAAAACTGAGTTCAAACATTATCACAGTTACTGACTAGCTTCATAAGACAAATCACAACACATGCACACTTCAACGACAAGAAGAACGATTCACTCCATTCCTTCACAGACATTAACCTTGCACCATCTCACTCCCCTATCACTGATCAAGGCCTCACACGTGATTCAGCGATCATCCATACCTACACATGACAACAAGGAGCAGAGCAATTACCCAAATACTAATGGTCCAACCCTGAAATCGGCAGCAATATCTCCTCCGATTGCAACGACACACACAAACCCTGGAACTGTTGGGTAGAAGTTGGGAGACCTTGACCGGAAATTCAAGACAGCACCTCCCGCCCAGGGACCCCACGAGCTTATACCCTTTTCCCAACAGATCAACTTGAAATAGTACAAAAAAGACACCTAAATAATCACAATACAGTCCACAAAAACTCTCCAACAAACAAACCAGAAAGGGACGAGCCCAGCACGACCCTCAGAAACTCTCAGAAGCCACCCCTGCGTGGCACCTGATGTGCTTCCTCACGAGCTACATCCGGGTCGTGATGGGGCTCCTCCTCCTCCCAGCTCAAACCAACTCTGATCGATCTCGTTTCGGCGGCTGGCGCGGCAGCATGGAGTGACCGTGCATGGGATCCGTCCAACTATCATTACACAATGGAGTGATTCGAGCAACCGGCAACACAATAGCTTAACCATGACGTCGACGAGTTCGGAAATGCAGGGTAGCACGCAATCGGGCGTACTTTCGATGGCGTGAGGGTCGCCGAGAGCAAGGAAAGCTTGGGAAACGTGAGGAAAACCATTCAGTTTTTCTTTCCCCGATTGCACGATTGTTGAAGGCTGATGTAACCAAAATCTTGGGTACGAGGCTGGATTAATGTCGACTCTCCTCATTGACGATGTTCCGATGCCGATCGATCAATCCATCGATCCATAGATCCATTTATAGCTTGTGATGAGAGTGCGGCGACGATGCTCCAACTCCGGCCGCAAGTCATCGCCGAAGGGGCCTACGATGACTGCGAGTGCGGTGTGAACGGAACATCGGCGCTTTCGAGTTATTTTGTTGCAACGTGCAATGTCCACGTCACTTGCTCCGGTACACGTCACCCGATGGTCGTGACTGGGCGTCAGGGTCCAGTTGGATTGTTTGGGGTCTCATCCAATAGGAGTCGACGAGAGCTGGTGGGGATTGGAAAAAGTGTTCCCTGTGCTTTAAAAGGCACTCCGCTGCATTAGATTCTGATGTTGCATTGTGGTGTTCAATTGCCTTTTTAATTAAAGTATGATGTTTTCTTCTTCACATCAAAATTAATGCTGTTTTGGAAATGTGGGGTTTTTTTTTTTTTTTTTTTTTTTTCCATTTAATTTTTATGGATTTTTTTGGATTTTTTTTGGTGGCGACTCATCTCTATTTTAGATTTCATTGGACATCGTAGTGTTTGAGTCACTTGGTTTATGAATGATTCACACGACAGTAATGGGTCTTTGTTAATATAGCAACAAAATATCTCAACATTTTTAAGCGCTTTAGTGAAATTAGTTCAATACTTTTCGATACATGTAATTATTTGAATTGAATTCAACCTCGATTTCTTGACAGCAAATACAGTTAATACTAATCATAAATAAGACATAAATCTGTTGAAAGATGTTTTTGAAATTAGTATTAAACTTTAATAATAGAATTAAAGTGAAACATTTAAGAAGAAGCTGTTCTAACCCTTAAAAAAGTAAGAATAGTAATCTTGTTATGAAGATTTTTCTTTTCTACTACATCCATTATGCAATTTCAATTTTATATATTTACATATACGTATATATATTTATATATATATATATATATTTATACAATATCTAACCATTAGGAAACAAAGCTTTTCATTAAAATATTAATAATCACTTAACAGCAAATAAAACAAATAAAATGGTTTTCATAGAAGAGTTCTACCCAATACAAACACCTTTCTATCAAGGAAGAAGTAACAATTATGGCAAACCTTGTGCCATAATGTCACCATGACAATAACAAAACACTTATCCATACAACACAAACTTGTACTAGGGTTTATTATTTATTTATTTACTTTTTCTATCAAAGCGTGCATTAATCATTTTTACAACTATATATATTATATAGTACTACACGGAACCCACATAACCATAAAAGAAAAACACACCATTGTAAAGCATGATTCCGGGAGCTGGTCTGAACAAGGGAGACTAAACGAATGAAATTTATTACCAAGACTTGTGCCATAATTTCATCCATCCACGACGGGCGCAGAGGCAAAGGGGAGCGAGCTTTCGCCTGGCTTTGCTTCGCTTTGCTGCCATTGCTGCTGCTGCGTGGACTCTGATGCGCTCTGATTCTAACCTTCAATCATCGGCACCACACCATCGCTTTTGTTTCTTCAACAATCTCTGTTCTCAATCTCACCTCACACCCACGTCGCAATTTTCTCCCGAACCTTCTAGTCTGCACCTTCCGATCCACGTCATCAGAAGTTTCCCGCTCAGGTTTGCGACTTTTTTTCTAGCATCAGTGTTCTCGCTTTCTCTTATAATAAGAGTTTTCGACGTCGTTTACATCGCAATTCACTGGCTTCGTGTAATATCGAGTGAGATTGTGGTAGGAGTCGTGAGGTGTGGTATTGGGTTTTCCTGGGCTGGACCTACCTTGCTTGGAAATTTTGAAAACTAGACATATTGGTTTTTGGGATGTTTATGGTTTGTTACAGGTTTTGAGAGGAGGTTCGCTGTGTGAGGCTGATGATTTTCGTTTGATTGATCAGGTGTGGTTTTGAGGAATTGCCGAGTGGGGTTGATTTTCGAACAGCTTGCACCTTTGGGATAGTTTTCTGGAACAGAGTGTCGAACTGAAGAAATGAAGGTTACTGTGTTGACTGCAGACGAGCGCATTGTCTCCCTTGACGTGGAGCCCGATGAATTGGTACGTCTTATGAGCATCAGTATTGATCTCGTAGCGACTTGCTTCCGTGTCTGTACAGTGTTATTCAATAGCATTTTGCATAGAGTGTGCGTGTTTTTGGATTGGTCCTTGGCTAGGGATGCGTGTTGTTATTTAATACATTAGTAGTATTTTAGGACATCTTAAGAATTTTGAACTTAGAGGGCTTTTTGAGCCGCGATTTTACTTCTATGTTGTAGGCTGACTGCAATAGCAGTAATCAGAGAATCCGGGTTTGTGAGCCTGTCATCGCTAAACATATTTCTGAGCTTATTTATTGCTTGGTAGTCTATTTGTTACGTTGTTCGCTAAGTTTGAGAACAGAAGTGATGCTTTATTTGATCATAATTTGGGGTTGTATTTCCAGGTGAATTTTCTGGTAGGAAGGCATCTCGTCACTTGTTTCTATTTAGTAGTTCTAAACGAGATGTGTTTTTGTTTTTGTAATTCAGGTAGAAAATCTGAAAGCTATCCTGGAGGTGGAGGTAAGCTGGACATGCTCACTCGCTTTTGCATAACGATTAGTGAGATCTATGGAAACCTGTCTGCATACTGCTGCCACATTTCGTTCTGATTTCATCACATCTGTGTAGTCCTGAAATCCTTGTAGTGTTCTGGAGTTGTATGTAGACTTAGCTAAAGCGTGACTCCCAAAAGTGGCATCATGGTGTCAATCCTTTTGCTTCTCGTTTCTGTTATGATGGAAGCATTCCTGAAGATATTTCTGTTGTTTGCTTATCAGACTCAAGTACCTCTAGCGCAGCAGCAGTTACTCTTCAATGGAAGAGAGATTCCGAATTCATCTCGCCTCAATGCAGCTGGTGTTGGAGATAACGACCTACTCATGCTTGTGTCAGCGCGTGCTGCCTCCAGGTAAACTGTAGTTCTTGGTAGAGTAAGGAGCAACTTTGTTGGTAATTCATTGCTTCTTTGGATTTATGTCTGCATGGAGGTATTCTTGTTACTGTCAAACGAAATGGTATTATACCACACTTATATAACCCTCATGTAAGTAGCTTTGGACGCTGCTATTTAATCTTAGCAGCGGCCTTCTTTATTTTCCCTACATTGTACTTTGCATGAGGGTGTATGAGAGATGTATGAAATTGTCGTGGTCGAGTGTGCACAGTCCTGCAAGTGCCGCACCGACAGACTTAGGTCTCAATCCTGATGGATCTGCCATCAATCCTATTGCACTCATTAGACATTTACGGGGTGACCCCAACATAATGAGGCAACTCCAAGAGGTGATTGCATGTCACCAAAATCTTCTTTTGTTTCATTCGTTTAGTTTTAATACTGTGGAATTTAGATGCTTTATTCGAGCAAAAACAGCTTAGTGATTCAGTTCTTCAGTGTAAGAATAAAAAGTATGTCGTAATAGAAGCCACATCACAAACATCAATTCAAACTCCAGTTGGACAAGACCAAGTTGATGCATTGAACTGGTTCTTGTGGTGCAGTCTAATCGAGAACTCTCGCAAGCTATATCGAATGACAACGTGGATCTGCTACAAAACATTCTGCGGCAGCAGCACCAACAAAAGCTGTTGATGCAGCAACAACGTCAACGTGAAATTGTAAGTTCTTGCCGTGCCTTCAACAAAGTCGCATCTTTGATATTTTGGAGAGTGCTATGTCCTTTTGAAAATTGTGCAGTTGTCCAACAGCACAATAGGTGAAATCGATCACAATTTTACAAGTGATCCACTGGCCTTTGCAAATTGTGATGCACTTCTTAAATGGAAGTGTAGCTCATGTTATTATTTGATTAAGATTGAGGTTTGCACCTAACAACGATTGTACAACTTAGATGCAGACAAGGTGTGTGACACACCATTCTCTTGTTGATAAATAGCAATTATGAATAATCTCTGTTCTGGTTGTGTGGATTGCAGGATTTAATGAATGCCGATCCTTTCGATGTAGAAGCTCAGAAGAGAATTGAGGAGGCCATCCAACAGGTTTGGCCTAGTTCTTTATGCACCTTTAATGCGTCTTGTTGATTTTTCTAAATTGTACTTTTGTGCCTTAGCGATTTCACCCAATGACACATTTTGACGGACCTTGTTTAGTTATCACTGAATAATAGTCTTCAGTCAAGTGGAAAACACATATCAGCTAGTCTCTATTTATTGGTAACTGGTACATGCTTATTTTAATGTGCATATTTGGACTTTCAGAAAAATGTGGATGAAAATTGGGAGGCTGCGCTAGAGTATAACCCTGAAGCCTTCGCTCGTGTGGTATGGAATCTTCTTGACTATTTTGATTATATTATGCTGGATTGTTTCTAGTTTGGATGCGGACCTCGTTATAGTGTTAAGTAGAATTATCTTTGTGGAAATTGTTGGGATGTTGATCAAGTTGACAATAAGTACTAACAGAACTCGTGTTTTGTAGATTATGCTCTATGTTGACATGGAGGTGAACGGTTTCCCTTTGAAGGTAAGTCGTCGTCCATCTCTGTTTGTTAGCGTTCATGAGTCACGAAATATAATTTTTAACATCCTCAATGTGCCCAGTTACAGTAAGCAATTCCGTTGTTGCTGTTTTTTGACTTTCGTTTGGAACCTTTATTTATTTACTTCAGTTTGGTGTATAGTTACAATATCAACTATCACTGATTAGGCCTGCGAGATTATAGTGGGATAGTTGTTATAGTTTTGTCAGTAACTTTTGTATAATCTATCCATTATTGAAGTGCTCTGAATATACCCGGCAGGCATTTGTGGACAGTGGCGCACAGAGCACCATTATTTCTAAAACCTGTGCGGAAAGATGCGGGTAGGTTTTTTACCTATTTGACGTTTGTCATACTCTTTTCTGGCATTCTACTTTTAGATGGTAAGCACTAATTATTGTTGTGAAGGCATCATTTGATTGATATTTTTCTTAAATTTCTTTACTGTCCACCTTTTTAATAAACCGAACGTCAATGAGTTTGACTTAATGCCGTAGATTGTGCGAGGATTGTTGGATTTTGCAGGTGAAGATAATTTTGAATATACTCGGAATAAATTTCGTAATAAAGTTGGTTACTACTAGATCTGAACTGATTCAGATGTGATAGTGTTAAAAAGGTTACTGTTTTAAGGTGACAATAGCTATTTAGGTTATCATCAAATAGTCGAGTGAGGTGCCTCGAGGTTCTTGAATGTTGAAAAAGGCTGAGTATCTTTCATCTATGGCTCGCAGACTTCTCAGGTTGATGGATAAGCGCTACAGAGGTATAGCAAAGGGAGTGGGGCAATCAGAAATCGTAGGTCGGATTCATGTTGCTCCTCTCAAGGTAATTTGCCTCATTTAACAAGTTTACACCCTTGCGATCCACTGAATTTACTATTGTAATGAAAACTGATGTCATAGACCTCTGAGGATTGCAGATAGGAAAGAACTTCTATCCATGCTCCTTCACAGTGCTTGATCAAGCGGACCTGGAGTTTATTTTTGGCCTTGATATGCTTCGTAAACATCAAGTAAGCATAACATCACTGCCTATTTCCCTCTCCCTTTCTATACATACAAATTTTCAAGGTTGCTTCAAATCTCTCAGTGAAACCCGCGAAATACATCACATATTTCTGTTACTGAATATGTACATTTTGGGTGTAGTGCTCAATTGACTTAAAGGATAATGTACTTCGAGTTGGCGGAGGGGAGATTTCCGTCCCGTTTCTGCAAGGTGAGTATTTTACCCATATGATGCAATTAGTCGCAAGTTTTAATTGGAACAGAACATGCCAATCTTCTTCACGTTTCCAGAAAGGAAAAATATGTCAATTCGCAACTTATCTATCACGCAGCATATTACTATTTTATAGCATTTATCATTTAAATTGATGAAGACTTACATCTAATGAAGAAATTTCATCGTATGCATTTCCTTAGAGAAATAACATGTGATGAACTTAGCATGATTTCTTTGCCTCCATTGCTCTTAAACTTATTGTGGTTCACTGCTTATTGTAGAGAATGAGTTGCCGTTGCATTTGCATGATGACAAGCGATTAGAAGAGCCTTCATCTTCGGTAAATGATGGTGCAATGCTAGGAAATCTAGCATTGTGCATGATCCTCACATCTTCATTTGCATTTGCTCAATTTTCTTGTAGCCACATCTATTTTTGATACTTGCTTCAGCGCATGCTGCTCTCATTCCGATCTCATTTTTCTTAATGATATTCCAACATTTTTGGTTTATTCTTTGTCAGTTTTACAACTAAAAATTAAATTGTGTCTTCTTACTTTGTGATAGGGACCTAGCAGCTCAGCTGTTGCCTTGCATCCTCCTGCTCCCATTCATGCTCCGGGAGGTCCAGGTTTTACTCATAATGCCTTGCTATTTCCGTTCTCAACTACAGATCAGCTACTAGATTTTTCAGTGCTCAGTACTTTTTTTCATCTGCTTGCTCTTGGTTCGTGAATAGGGGTGTGCATTTGCTCATCCGCTGTCATCCCAATGGATTCAATTCTTTTGAAGTCGTATTTATGCAACCATTAGTGCTACTAGTGTGAGTTGTCTTGTAACTAGGCTTATTGACTCTGCAGTTTCTAGTCAAGATTCCAACAAGAGAGCAAGAACCCCTCAGGTTATTCATATCTTCCATTTATTCTTGATTGGTTGCAGTCCATAACTTTTCTTCCCTGGGTAGGTCAGATTTCCTGAAGCCTTTCCTGCAACAAATAGTTCACGAACTCGCGTGTTCTGTCTGTCTGTATGTCTTTCTTTTTCTTCTTCTTTTACTTTTTGTTTTTACTCTAGCTTTCATAATACCTCCTCCGCTGTATCATATGACTATGATTTTTTCAATATCTGGTAACCCGTGTCAATGCATACCTTTCATTGATCTAGTCTGTTATTCCTGATCTTAGATTAAGACTTTTTTGGGGGTTTACCAGTATCTGGCCTGGTAATAATTTATATTGAACTAGCTCTACTAGTGCATCTCCGCTCAAATCGGTGCTTTGCTCGTCTCAGGAGACTCAGAATGATCCGAAGGTGCAGAGGTTGATGGAACTTGGGTTTGATCGCAACACTGTTGTCCAAGCTCTCACTCTTTTCAATGGAAACGAAGAACTGGCTGCTAGCTACTTGTTTGGAGGGTTCTAAGATATTAAGTACTTAGCTCTATTGGTTTTATCCTTCAATTTGGTTGTTGCTCATTTTGTCCAGGTCAAGTTCAATGTAGTGTAATCTGCCGCAGATGACAAGTTGTTCACCATTCTTTGAAATGTTGTGATGTTTCCGAATTGAGCTCAATTGTTAGTCTCTATCTGCATTGTTTATAGCTGATAGAAGTGGATACTTGGGTGGCAAGAGGTATTAGAGCAAAAAATAAAATAAAATAAATGTGTTTTATTTTATTTTGGTGTTTGAGTTTTTCGGGTGGTTTATTCTGTGAGGAAAAATTGTGCAAGCAGTTGGATTGCAGTTACTAAGTTTATCGACTATTGTTTTGTAAAAATCAGTCAATTGTAGTCTTTTTCCATTTAAAAAGTTGTTTCATGAATAAGTACTGAAGTTAACATGCAAAATAGTATTTGCAATATGATATAAAGGACAAGCTGACTTTTCAAATAAATCAAGATTTTTAGACATAGCAGAATTTCATTTTTAAAATCTGGTTTTGTATGTATATTCTATTTTCTGTCAGTGTAAGAAGATGTAATATTCCACCAATAACATGTGTGTGTTTTTTTAAGAATGATTAATTTTAATCATATATTTGATAATAAGCATAAGTACTAGGTGTAATTAAGAAAGCTTGAATAATTTTGAATGAACTTTTGGCTCTCCAAAAGAGATTTTTAAAATGGGAAGTAAAAGACTTGCTACTTTTGTAAGATTAAGACATTCACGACATTTAGAATATATTCATTGAAAATTAAAATAACATAAGATTAGAGAAGGTGAGGTTCATGGCTAAATTTAAAAAAATCAATCATTGCTCTGAATTAAAATATTATGGATGAAATAAGAGAATTGAAATGAGGTATTAATTGATATGTTGGATGATATATATAAATTGCATTAGTTTGAAAGATTAAAAAAAATCATAATCATGATAATTAGAAAAAAATGTATATATATATATATATATATATATATTTAGATTTTAATATAAACATTTTGTAAAACTAATAAAAAATATCTCTACATAAAGTTTGATTACTCATTTTATTTAAATAACACTAATATTTGATATAAATGTTATATTAATATTTATTATAAGGTTTATCTTAAGTAAAATTAATGAGAACAAAAATTATTTTTGTAATCCAATATATACGTAAAAAAACCATAAATAAGATTAGTTACTACAAATATGTTCATTTTTTTTATTATTCATGAAGTTAATTTAAACTAGGCATTTGAGTAAAAAACAATAGAATGAAATAAAATGCATTGAAGTAGATGTACAAAGAAATGAAATGCAATAGAATTGTGAATTTTTATTTTATTTTATTTGTTTACTTATTGATATTTTGAGACATACATTCATATAATTATGCATGGTGTCTTTTTGTGCTCTCTACAATCAACTCAATTATTCGAGCATAACTATTTAAAAAATATGCTATTTATCAAATTTAAATAAAAAACTTATTAATATTTTAAAATGAAAGTAACTTATTTAATTATTGTTTTGATTTAAATAAATTAGTTCTTAACTAAGATATGACAAATGTAATGAAAAATTAGATCTACTTGAGTATTAAGTTAGGTCTTAATATTGCAAGGAGGCATGGTTGAGGTACCTACAATTGTGCATGAAAAGCAAATATATTCATTGATCTTGATGATATGAACAACTAATAGTATGTGTAAAGATTATGTATCTATTTCTTGAAGTTAACCTTAGAGCATCAGAATGAAATTCTGAAGCCTAATTTTTATATAATAAAATACTTATGAATATTACTTTATCTTATATTGGCTATTAATTCTAAAAAAGAAAAAAATTACTCATAAAATCTCTTATTCATAATGACTACATTAATCTGGACACCAAAATAAATTTTAATTCAGAAAAAAATAATATTACTACAATTACTTAATCAATGGGTATCTATTTGAAGTTCTTTCTACAAGAAATATTTTTATGTCTAAATACTTCATATGTATCTAAATTAATAATATAAATATTATATTTATACAATTAATCAACATCAAATTCTTTAGAATTAGCTTAAAATACAAAAACTAATCAATTCTATAGATGCAAAATGTTAATAATGTATTTAGAATAAGGATTGAAGTATATTGTAATTATACATGTGTTTTTATTTTATTTTTTAAAATAAATTTTATTTCACTTATTACTCTTTTTAAGAATATTTTGGGATTTTTTGTACATGTAATTTTAAATTGTGCCTAATAAAAATCTTATAAAAATTCTTTAAAAATTAATTTTAAAATAAATATATAAATAAATATATAGATCACAAGAAGATCATAAAGCACATAGGATACAAACACCTTCTTTAGCCACATGCTTTTGATTAACAAATATATACCTAAAAATTGACTTATCTTTATTTATTTATTTATTTATTTATTTATAACAATCTATATAGCTTTGTAATAAAAGAATATATAATATAAAAACTAATAAAAAACTTTATGACAAAATTTAAGGTGTAAAAAAAATAATACAAGTTGTATTACTAATATAAAATTATTTTTTTACACAAAAAAATTTATAATATACATACTAAATATATCTTTTGATTTTTAGAAATATAAAGGGTATTTATAAATTCCATAATTGTATGCAAGAAACATATAGTTAATAATACATATGCATATGTTAATGACATGAATTACAAACAAAAAACCTCAATATATTCTTGTGTCATTGAAAAAGAATAGATGTTCTCTCAAAAGTAGTACAATATTAGAATTAGAATGATTATTAATAAAGACAAGAAGACTAGAGACTCTTGAAACTAGACTAAAAATATGAAAGGCATTGAGAAGAATGAAAAGACTTCATTCTTGCTTTTATTTTTAATATCTAACTAGGAACTACATAATGACATTCTATAAGACCTTTAATACATGTTGAACTTGCAAAACACATGTTTAATTTGCAAGATAAGTTTTTTACATATGCGCCATATGATCAACTTGTACCACAAGACACCAACATATGTGACACATGCCTAATTTATTGGCCAAATTTCCAATCTATCAATCAACTACATACACTTGTAAAGTCAAATTTGCATCTATGAAGCTTCTAAGAAGCCTTTTTACAAGATATTGTCAAATCTAGTTCGATTTATTGTCTACCTAATACTTCTTATGTAGATGATTATATATATATGATGGTATGCTAATGATGAAAAATATAATTAAATATTAGCTATTTTTGTTAATATGATTATTAATGATTTTTTAATGCTTTTAGTAATTCTTTTTGTATTAAAAAATTAAATATAAATTTGCTAAAAAGCTATGCCATAATTACATCAACTTGTTACAAACAGATATATATATTTAATTAAATTAAAGAAGCTAAATAGAAATAAATAGAATAAATAAATTTCATAATATCTTATAAAATAGCTTCTAAAAAGTATTATACATGCAAATTTGACTACATATATATATATATATATATGTAGCTCTGTAATTAGTAGGTTGAAAACTTAATCAATAAGTTTACTACATGTTGCACATATTGGTAATTTGTGGTACAAGTTGGCCTTATGGCACACTAGTAGAAAACTTATCTTGTAAGTTAGACATATGTCTCCCAAGTTGGGCATGTATAGGAGGTACTATAGAATATTGCTACATAGCTCCTAGTTAGATAGTATCTATAGAGGGAAGAGTGAGGCCTTTGTCACTCTTGTCAATGTCTTTTATTTTTATTTTTTTAATTTAGTTTTAAGAATCTCTAGTCTTCTTTATTTTGGTAATAGCTATTATAGTCTTAATACTAAATCATCTTTGAATGATTATCTACTATTTTTTAGTGAAAAAAAAGAATGTATTGACCTTTTAGTTGTTTGTAATTCATATCTTTGATACAACTATTAGTCTTCTATTACTTTGAAAGATGGTTAATTTTTATTTTAATTTAAAATTTAGAATTTTAAGATTTAAGATTTAAGATTTAAGAAAACATAAACATATCCTATGTTATTATTATTTTTTTTAAAAAATTAAAAATATCTTTCTTATCTAATTTTAAGATCTAAAATTTTAATAATATAAATTATATGTTTTATAAGCTTTTAGATTAATAAATGTAGAAGCTATATTTTTAATGGTGAAATTTATTTTTTTAGAAGTATTTATATATAAATATATTTTTAGATTTTTAACTATTTGGCTTTAAAGTCTATTTTACATATATATGGTTTTATTTATAAAATAATATATAAGAAAATTCTTATATTCTTTGAATCTATAATTATATTATAGTAATTAGAATTTTCTATAAGTTTTTAGATTTTTAGACATAGAAAATTTGATATCTTAGTTTGAAAATTAATTTTCTTATTATATGTTATTTATAAGTTTTAATTTTGATTATTTGTCTTATTTTTTTTATTTATTTTCCTATTGATATAATCAGTATTCAGGAAATTATTTTTAATTTATAAATCATTAAAATTTTAACAAAGTATCTATTTATAAATTTAATTTGTTAAATATATAATTTAATATTTTATTTAATTTTGTAAATTTTATTTATTATTTTAAAATGATATTTAATTTTAATTATATAATATCTAGTTTAAATTAGTTTTTTACATTAAATATAGTTTGTAATTTAAAACATTGTTTGTTCATATTGAATATGATTATCTACATTAATTTTTATTCTCATTTTCATTAAATATTTAATTCAAGTTTTTTTTTTTATTTATAATAGTCATATCATATATTATTAAAATATTTAACATTTTTAAAATTTATATCATTAATTTTATATTCATTTGTATAGATTAATATGTAGAGAGGACCATTTGCAAACTAATGTCAAAATCAAAACTCAAGGGACAAAAACAAGCACCTATGACAGATAAAGGGTTTTGGAATTGACTAAAAAGTAAGATTAGAAAGAAGACTTAAAGAGGGTTTGATATTTGTTAGATTTTTAAATATTGAGATTTCATAGACTTTTTGAGAGCTATGCAAAGTTAGGATTTAATTTTGTAGATTCAATTTTGACAAATAATCTGAAATATATGTTTAAGGCAATTATATAACTTTTGTAATAGATATGTTAGTGAATTTTTGAAAATTTGTACACATACTTGTGCTAAATTTGTGACATTAATTTTAGCTTATTGAGTGATTAGATTCAAAGTTATTGAAAGTTAAAGTGGGTTGGAATATTGGTAGTTTGAGAATTAATAAAGATTTCAAAGATTTGCAATAAAGTTGAGATGAAATTCCCTAGGAAACCTCAAAGTACTCTAAGTATATGCTATGAGTTCTAAAAAAACCTGTATACATCTTATTAAAACCTAATTAATTAAAATTTATTTTTACAAAAATCCTTAAATATTCTAAATAAATTCTAAAAATCATTAAAATTTTAAATTTTTTTAAAAATAATTCCTATTAAACCTTGAATTTTTATAAAGTTAATTCTATTAAATCTTAAATAAATTCTAATTAAATCTTGAAGTAATTCAATCACATCCTAAATCATAACCAAATCCTAATCTAACATTAATCATGCTAATTAAGAAGGTCACGCTTAGCAGAAATAAATCATAATTTTAAAGTATTATTCTTTGGTTTCTTCAAAAAGACTAGTTTGAATTTGGTTTCTATAAACCCTCTTAGATGGTAATTAACATTAGAAGATTAAAAGAAAAAAAAAATACATTCTTTATGTTAAAAAAAAAGAGGTTTTAAACTTAAAAAAAAATGAGTTGTTGGTCTAAAAAGAATAAAAAATAAATAAAAGAGAATTAATAAAGACCTTAGAAAAAATCTCCAAAAATAAATTCTTAATATTAATCAAGATCAATTTGTTGACAAGACTAATTGATTGCTTGTTGAAAAACTTCTAAGTACAATCTTAACACCAAAAAAACAAGACAAGAATGGAAAAATGATATTTAGTATTAAACCTATAAAAACAAAAAAATATTATTTCAACCTTTGGTAGTTTTTCTATTTTTTTGGCTTTTATCCAAGTCAACTATATATTCTTTTAGAATAAAATATTATTAATTCTTGATCTAAATTCTAAATCTAAATTTGGTCTTATCTTTATCAATGACATCTAATCTTATACTTTTTGTTTAGTCTTAATCCTAAAAAGACCAATTCTAATCCTATTATATTTTACCAATTAACTTATTTGTGATTATAACCATTTAGAGGTTTTAAAAAAAATTCTTATACAACTAAATGCTTGTTACATTCTTACACTAAAGTTTATATAACATAAAATATATTGATAAATTTGATGTGAAATTTTGAGATAGAAGGTTTTTAAAATTTTATTCATTAATATTGACAATATAGAAAAATGAGGTAAGAATTTAAATATGTAGTTGATTGATATAAGTAAAATTTCTAGTTGATCTTCTAATAGACAATTAAGTTTGCATCTAGATCCTCTAATTGTTCATATATTTAAAGTATTTACTATGTTTATACAACCATAAAACTAGTAAATAAAGAAAACATTACCACAAAAGTTTTATAAGCTATGGCTTATAAAATTGACTAATTTGACAAAAGAAATATTCAAAAATATTTGAGACATTATCCAAAGAAATAATTTTTTTTATCATATTCTTAAAATCCTGAAATCCTTAATCCTATATTATAACATTGTCAAAATTAATACTACATTATTTCATCTTTAAATTGGAAGTAAGGAAAAATTCCTACCTAAATTTGAAATAGCTTCAAACAACTCTTAGTAAATGAATTTCACACTTAAAAGTATTAGTTTTTAGTAAATCAATTCAAGATGTCTTTATACCATTTCTTCAAACCTATTGCTAACCAAGGTGATTATTAGCACAGGAAATTCATGTGTAAGTGCTTCCACTATATTTGACAAATATAATGTAGATACAACTGCTGCATATGATTATTTGACTAGTTAATTAGATTAAAATACAATGTATTGAAAGTAAAAAAAAAGAAAGAAAAAAGATGTCTCTTTCTATCAAACTTGCTAAAGTTTGTACTTAGATCCCTTATTGTTTATTGTTTATATCAAAAGTAGAAATATTCAAGTTCATGAAGCAAGCCTACAAACTTCTATCTGGATTAGTTTATGAAAATCTAGCCACTTAGCATTTACAAGATCTGTGGTGGATAAATTCAAAATGGGTTTTCATTAGACCTTTTCTTGGCTGGCAAAGAGAAACATATTTGTCATTCCATTGTCTAGCAAGCACAGATCATCAAAGCGTTTATATGCACAATGGAATTTTGCCATCAGGTCTGGACTATCTGGTCAAGCCAGCCTCTGGATTAATTGAAATTCAAAGAAAAGCAAGCACACAACGGTGAACATGCTTAAGCCCATTGGAAATACCAATTATCTCCTGCCATACACAACCACTTCAATTGATGCAGCAGTTTCTCATCAGTCACTAGTGTAATTCAACTAGTGAAATCATAGTTGCTGCTGTTGCCATTCTGGTTTCTACTCCAAAACTGGAATCAGAGATTGAGATGCAACGAGATACTAATGTCAGTGGTATGGAATGTACTGTACCAGATGTCGAGGTGTTTGAAGGCTTCAGAGATGTTTTTGATGCTCTTCGGTTGTGTGACTTCGACTTTGTATTCCTGCGCAAAGCAAGAGCACCACAGACGATGGAAAGCTGAACTGTTAGATGCGTACACAATCGCCTGGGCCAGAACAGATATCACACGTAGAGCCATGCTTTTTGAACTCGTGTACTGACAAATAACCACTTTGCACCGCATGGCATTCTCCACGGTTAACGTATAGAGCATGTGATCCCATTAGGAGTTGGAATCATCACGTACGCTGGAGTCGATTGCCTGACGAACCTGAGATGAATGAACTTTCCCGGAGTCAAACAGAAGCCAGAGGACTCTAGTAGAACGATCCGTTGCCAAAAACTCTAACTTAAGAACAACACATAAGTTCGATTGGAGCTGAGGCTTGCGAGAATAACTCAAATCGAAGGAACTTACTAGATCTATCTGACTGATGAGCGTGAGCTTGCGCAAGAGTGAAAACCTGCTCATTTTAAGGCATATGCCGACAATCTCAAATTGGCCAGAAACTTGAAAGCAGCTTCGTTAGCAAATTTGGGATTTGCTTTCATGTATCCATAATATTGAGACCCATCCTTGAGAAACACACAAGCTATGTTACGTAAAACCCATTTCTGAATAAATTATATTGATCTCTGTCCACCTTCAGGTGCACTTTACATTTAATGTCAGTCGAAGGAGAATTTTACCACGAGCAGGCTCGAACAAACTCGAGGCCTCTTAAGCCTACTAAACACTGTAAACAATTTCTTTCAAATGGGTAAAAGGAGCATCTCCACCAATCAACTTGGGGAACGTGTTTTTGAATGGGAAAGAATTGGAGAATCAATTGTGCAGGCAGAGCTAGCACTCAGGCAAGATAAGTTGTCACTGCTTTCGGCAGAGTGTCATCCCATCGCCAATTGGTACCTGTGGCAAAATCTCTCCGCACAATTTATTAAGTAGCTGCCTCAAAAATACGTACTACCAGAATTCATAAAAAAGCTAAAAACGGCCGCAAATGATAAAACTAGAATGGAAGTTTAGACACAATAATAGACGCTGCAACTGTGCGTCGAGTCAAAAGTTTACAACGTTTGGCAGAAAGACGCGGGAGATTTACCATAGAGACATTTATTCGATCATCTTCAGCTAGAAATTTGTTAAATTCCCGAAGGAACTTGGTTCTCTTATCGTTAACCTGACGGAAAGACATAGTTACTGTAAATCACAATAATCACAACGATTCCATAAACTTCACTTGCGATTTACAGAATGTCCTTTACGACTTACTTCTAGATAGTAATATGCAGATTGAAGTACATGAGAAATTGGAAGTGAATAAGTGCATAAGTACCAATGGATCCGCGGTCCTTCCATACCACAGCGTGTTATCCACTACTATCAGTCCATTGGGTTTAATCTGCCATGAAGATTACCCGTCACAAGTTCAATGACCAGCACCTATCATGCAGGAAACAGTAATAAACTACAAGACGAGAATCAACATTAACTTGTATTTAAAATTAACAGGATTAAAACCAAACTAAACTAGATGTTGGGAGGTGGTGGAAAACACATCTCTACTGCAGCCTTGTCACGCAAACCGGAACACCCAAGTGTCAAAAACCAATATCTCCAGCAGACTAACCCAGGGTAATAAAGTGTGATCAAGGAAAAAAATTACCAGCTGGAGTAGTAACTCGTAATACTCACGGTACATCATCTTATCTGCATCTAGAAATGCGTAGTCATAACTGGAAACAATACATCAACACCAAAACACAAAAAAATACATAGTATACATAAGAATTTACTCGAACGAAAGCACAGACGTACACACGCACTCACACACGACAAAAGGCAAAAATGTAGACGGACAATAAATGAAGCATGAACTACGGTCGATTTGCATGCATGTGGAGACTCATATGCAAAAATGGAAAGACTTGTGCAACATTTTCCCCCCAGAGATTAAATACACAGGTCATGGAAATAATGAAAGAACGACGTCGTTAAGATACCTGCCAGCTTCACCATTTTGCAGCAGGTCGTTTAATGTGTCTGCTGCTAAGCCATGCCTGATGTCCACCTGCTCCAGGTTCATTACAGAAAATTATCAAGGTTTGCAAGTCACTTCATTTCTCGAAGTAATAATAAACAAATTATGCAGCAAAAAAACAGCTGGACAGCGCTAGGTCACATACCTTATGTAAAACGCCTGCATGTTCGTAATACTGTCTTGCTACAGCTAAGGACCTTTCATCCCTATCACAAGCCACAAGCTTACCTCCTTCTGGAAGCACCAAGGCTACAGCTAGAGAGGAATACCCCTGCACACACATTCATGATCTGTCTAAACATCCTCAACAAAAAAACGATAATCGATACCTAACCAATGCATATAACTGGCCTCAAAATACATCTCGCAAGAAGGGTAGGGAGAAAATGCCAGCAACCAAAAAACAAATCAATAAGCATCCTCGAGATACAATATGACAAGGTTACAAGAAACTCGGAAGATGGAAATGACTCATACATGAAACACACCAACTTCGATGCACCGTCTTGCTCCCATTAGTTGCACAAGTAGTGCCAAAAACTGTCCCTGATCTGGCGGAATCTGTGAAACTCCACGGTAGTCAGTTCGTCAGTAACACCTAACATCGACTACTCCTGCGATCTTTAGGATATTCTGTCTTTTAGCCTACTTATTTTCAAAGGTCAGAGACAGGACTTGAATTGACATGACAACTACATAACGAGGTACTAGAGCATGAATATGCCAAAACTCATGCTTTTGCGTGAAAATTCTGTGGGGCACATCCTTTCTAGTGATCCAGGATTGCACCAATTCGAGAGAGGCCTCACACCGCAATTAAATTAGCTCTCCCACTGATCTTATATAATCCTCCTAACTAACCCACCACCATATAATTCCGCACAAGAGCATGAGATTTGACTACAATTCCAATTGGTTACAAGATCAACGAAAGAAGGATTTCAAGTATCGCTCCAAGCGTCCCTTAGATCGATGCAACGACAGATTGAGAAATCCCGTTTCTCACAGCATTTGAACATAAGGTCATCAATTTGATTAAGAAAATCCAATTTAGCGAGTTGAATCGCCTGACGAACTTGCTGCACTTGACCATTTCTACAGGCTACATGGTGACTTCGGTAACTTCTAGATTACAGTGGTAAATAACTCAGGTTTGATGCTCATTGAGGAACCCTAAACCAAAAACCCTGCCAATCTGCATAAGTATCTCGATCACGCGATTTTCCGGTATCACAAATCAGGAGGAGGTGAACGCACCTGCATATTACTGCCAGGCGACTCCGCCATCTCCTCGCGCAACTTTTGCAAGATCTGCGAATCATTAAATTACAAAACATTGTGGGCTGCTAAATCCTTAGAAGAATCTTCGACCACCACATTCGTCTTTCGAGTAAGAACGCGGATTGATATTCGCCTACCTAGATTGGCAGGTAGGGTAACTACCCAGATGGAGCAATAAAACCAGCTGAGAGGGAGCCAATTTGAATGGACAAACATTGAGGCGAGACAATTTCAATCAAAAAACCTACGCAACATGACACAACACAAGGAATAATGAATCCAGGTGAAGCACGAGCAATACCAGCGGCTCACGCGTGTGGCGCAAAATGTAGCTGTACAATTGGTCCGTGAGCGGCAAGTGCTTGCCGCCAGGTACCAACGTATCCAGCTGGTTGCTCGGGACAGCCTTGGTTGCACTGCTGTCGACGCTACACAAAACTCTGGAACAGTTGGGGGCGTAACTAATGAATTGGACATGGCGAGTACCCAGCACAGAAACATGGCGGCATTTGAGCTTGAGATTGGTGGAAAGCTTGTGCAGGGTCAGCACCGGCCAACCGAGCATCACGTTACTCATTGCACACACTCACACACTAGCTACTCTCTGCGACGCTCCCTCAACTTCGTAATTCCTGCGTCTCCGCTTCAAATCTTTCCCTCGCTTGTGCACCTCAATCTTCACCATCTCCTCATTGCGCATTACGGGCTTCGACCATGATGCCTTACGCCCCAATTCGACTTTACTATCAACGTTCAACTTCCCGGGGAGAAACTGAAGGTGTGGGGCTCAAAAACACCCTTCGAATTCAGATTTCGAAGGATTAGGATACCGAGCTGATGCTAACACGCTCTCGCACGCAGTTGGCAAAAACTAAATAAAATTGGCAAATTCTTCATCGGAATTCGAGAGATTGTTCACAATCCTCGCTGCCCTGGGCCACCAAGAATCATCCCCACACTTGGGTAGTAGATGATGAATATATGAAATCAATCTTCATCCAGTGAAGAGTTCTGCTGAGCAGTTTTTGAAGGTACGAAGAAATTGAATTTGTTGGGATTGGCTGAAGGGAACCCATTAAGTGAAAATGCTAAGCACTCAAAACAATAGAGATAAAGGTCAATAGTACCCGTAGCCAACACTCTTTTTGGACATGGAGCACCTCCCTAACCATGCCAGGAACTTCTCAGCTTCATAGTTCGTGCACAAAAAGTAACACTTTATTAAATGTATAATTTTGGCAACTAAACTTTTACAAAAACCAATGAATACATAGTGGCAACGTTATTAAATGGTTGTACAGCATGTTGAAGATCCGTGCATTGCAATGCCTACCTTGTGCATCTAGTTTGAAGAATCGAGGGAAAAAAACAAAAACAGAAGTCACGTTGCTATTTGATAGATAGTTCCACCTTGTCCAATTCATATATTTGTGTACAAAGGAAGTTGCGACTGAGTTACAACCAATTTCAACATGAGGCTCACAAAGGTTCAACAGAAACCTAGTGCACAAAGATTATAACAATATTATTTGTTTTAGTGGATTCACTTTGATTTTTCAAAGTGATTCTGTAAATGGATGATCAAAAAACGTTGAGCTGCAGTTGTGTGGAATCACAAAGAATATGTATGGGAACATCCGCTGGTTGCATATTCCAAAACAAAAAAATATCATTATATGCAGTTATATTCTGTGATAAGGGAAGAACAATCAGTATTTTGAGGTGATCGTTTTCAAGAGTTTCAATCGTTATCCCCAATAAGGATTCCAAATAAGACGAAGAATTTCCTGTTGATGACTAAGTGTACAATGCTATTCTCGAACAAAAATGGAAAAAAACAAAAAACAAACAAAACAATCCTACATGCAAGGAGCCTTTGTAGCAGTTCCTTCAAAGTACGGGCTTCGTTTGAATGCCAAGACGCAAGATTCCGTGGTTTCATATTGAAAGGTGCATAGATACAGTTGATCCCCTAAAATGGTCAATACCAGACAAGTGAATTCTTCCTAAGCCTCAAAGGAATCTCAGGGTTTTTAGACCTAGGAACAAAGTCAACTTCAATATGTGTAAATTTGACATTGAAGAATATCCTTGATACCTAGATGGATGACACTAACCATTATATGGTACAGTCCTATAGCCTGCAGGTGGCTCTTTGCTACCTCGCAACTGCTTCGGTTGTGACTTTGAAACCCAGCTGAACCATTGATTTAGCTGATCCTCGAATGGCTTACTGACCTTCCTATTGTCACCAACTCCATACTTGGCGCGAATAACTGCTTCTTTAAAGTCGTCCAAAGTAACAGCTGGGCGACCTGTTCGCACCATGAAATTCAAAAGTAGTCAAGAAAATGCCATTCAACTATTCAAAAGATTGTGGGGATATCTAACCAGCTTTGAGACTTCGTGATCGGATTTAAAAATTTAATTCCCAAGTATAGATATAGATGCAAGCACTGTATACCTTCACGTGCAGCAAGAAGAGCGGCTTCATTGACCACGTTAGCAAGATCAGCACCAACGAAACCTGGTGTAAGCTTTGCTATCACTGCACGAACTGTGGCTGCATCTCCATCAACTGGTGTGGAGCGCATGTGCACAGCTAGCACTTGCTGCCTCCCTTCAAAATCGGGTGCGTCCACATTCACTCTCCTTGATATCCTACCGGGTCGGGTGAGAGCAGCGTCCAGTACTTCAGGCCGATTTGTAGCTGCAATTACCATCACTCCTGTCTCGGAATCAAATCCGTCCATTTCTGTCAACAACTAGAAGCCACAACGCAAATTCAATCTCATGTCATACTGGAAACTTAGTAAGTTAAATTCGTATAAAAAGCATGCCGTTCTGTTGTGCCTTAGCGCCTAATTTATAGGCGTGAAAGTAGACATAGGTTGAAGATCAGGGACTAGTCATAGTCGCATTCGACATAGTGAGTCTAAAATCATGAGTATTGTATTTTTTTGTGTTTGTGCTTAGTTTTCGATGTTGAGGGGGTCCTGAAAGAATAGAATAAAATCTTCCTTTAAAATGGTCTCAAGCTTAGGAAGCTGGTGCCCTACATGGAGTGATTTATCAACTTAAAGAAGAGTAAAACGAGTTCTGAAGCTGGGAAATGACAGCGAAAGTAACAACCTGAACTTTTACATTCTAATGACCAAGATTGATGCAGATGAACCAATGCAACATTACTGTTAGAAAATCAACATGCAATGAACGATGTCCTCTCTGCAAAACCATGTATGGCATAAAGATCTTTTGTCAAACCTCCCTATGCCTGACAATCTATATCTAAGGAGAGAGAAGTACCTGATTAAGTGTTTGGTCCCTCTCATCGTTAAAGCTACGACCTCGTTTGCCACCCACAGCATCCAATTCATCAATGAACACAATTGAAGGTGTATTCTTCTTAGCCTCTGCAAACAACTCACGAATGCGTGCTGCTCCCCTGTTTAATAGTGACAAACAACAACCAACAATAGGTTCACTCTCATTGCGGTGCCACATCAAACAAAAACACGAACTAAAATACCATTAAATAAAGGAAGGTTCACAATGAGCAAGTTGAGCAAGACACAGTAATATCCTATGACTAGAAGGCAACATGAAAGTGTCATGGGACAAACCTCCCGACAAACATCTCAACGAATTCACTCGCAGAGGCTGAGAAAAACGGAACACCAGCTTCTCCAGCTACAGCACGAGCAAGCAGAGTTTTGCCTGTTCCAGGGGGTCCTACCAATAAGACTCCTTTTGGGAGTTTAGCTCCCAGGCTAGCATAATTGGACGTGCCTCTTAGACATGCCACGATCTACACACAAACATTGGATAAGCACAAGAAGTTGTTCATCTATGAAGAAACCAGAGCATATGCCATGAGGCTACTACATATGATGTACAGATGAAAGTCTTTGGAACGAAAAGAAAAGAAAAGAAACAGAGTTTTTCTTGAATCAAAGTGTACCCCATGTACCTCAGCGAGCTCTGCTTTGGCTGTGTCTATTCCTGCAACATCAGTAAAATTGACGAGATTCTTTTTTGAACGTCGCTTCTGAGACGTCGAGTTATTTCCTGAAATTTGTCGGTGAAGTAGCCAAACTAGAGGACTAAGAGGAATCCAGAGAGAAACAATTGTGATAAGTAATGATCGTATCGACGCGGTGACAGACTGTGGAGCAGAGCTGTACCGGACGCCCTTCTCCCTCATGAGCCCCAGCAAATATGCCTCATCGTTTCGTACTCGGCGCGTCACGTATTGCCATTCACCCTTCTGTTGCACCTTTGGAACACGAATTTTTTCACGCAGACCTGTCTCGGGTTTTGGTACTTCATCTGAGCTAGAATTCTCTTCTACTGATAAACTTGGATGCTCAACAACATCGGGTTCTTTAACGACAGGTTGCACGTTGAACAAAAGCCGTTGGGAGCCTTCTTCGAAGAGAGCCGAAGTAACAGTACGCGCATGAATATGATCTATAAGATCTGAATATGGAGTATTTTGAGGAGCTGGCCCAGCTGAAACCCGTAAAAAAAGTGCAACAAGAGTAAATGTGCATGTCACCAAGGCACCAAGTAATAAAGGTTTCCATGAGAAGCCTGCTGGCGGTCCTAACCCACGACGAACATAGCGCATCAGAAGCCTCAAACGACCACGTAACCGCAGCCTCCGCCTGGGTTTCGAGCCCTTTCCTGGCCGATCCTTTTCAGCCAGGACTGGTTTGCTATTGCAGATTCTTCCTCTATTTCTCTTACTGTATTGCTGAAAATGAATTGATGACATAAAAGTGTGACAGTAGGGCGTCGATCTAACCGATTCCCCGACCATAAACCTCCCGACCTGCAACCCTTTGCACACTTTTCATCAATTTTGTGATTCCAAATAAATGTTAAAGGCCGTGATAATCAGTGATTTATCATGCTCTGAATCACACATGCAGCACTGTTTTGAACAGAAGCATCTCTGAGCTTTGAATATCCTACTTCATTAATTGACAGAGAATATATTTGCTCTGAGAAGTCACGGAAGGGTACATCATGTCTGTGAGATATATCTTCAGCGGCAACACATGAAGGATATCAACTAAATAGCAAGATTCCCTCCCTGAAAAGATCAGGAAATTGCTGAGGGTCCAGGGTTTAAGAAAGTTCGACACACTTGTAAAGCGAAAATCCCATGGCAAAGCAAACAATCCCCGACTTGGCATTGGATTCCTGTATGAAAATATTATAATGAAAACTGCCGAACTTTCTTAATCCCTGCTAGAGTGAATCGCATGCAACAACCAAACATCACATGTTATTCAAACCCTAAATCCAGGCCGAACATTTCAAAGTACAAAAATCTTTCCGTCAAAATTAATTCTTTCGCTATTCAAGGTATAAGGTTTAGAAAACGGTCATAAGTCCAGTATGATTCCTGTAAAAACCTGCTGATCATTCCGCAAGAATTTGCCAAGCAGGATAGAGATTCTCAAATCCTGGTGGCAAGGGCATGGAAACAGCCAAAAACGTAGTTTCTACAACAGTTCTCGACAGAGGAAAATGACTGTACCCAAGTTGGCACTGAAGGTATCTAAACCGGGAGATAACTACCCAAAGAAATGCCAGGGTTTCAGTATTTTCAAATTCAGTGATGCGCACCCGCTAGAGCATTCATGTCTATAAATCAATCCCATCTAACAAAGGATGTCACTCAAGAACAAAACAACGTTTATATTCTCACCCTAAATTAGAGTTGTCAACTACACACAAGCAATACAAGTGGAGAAACGTAACCTGATTAAAAGAAGCTCTGAAGGCTGCGTTTACAGCAATTACAGAAGATACGCGCCGTCCTTGCCTGGGTTGTAGAAATCTATAACTCATTTTATTGCTACCGCCAATTGAATTAGATGAGGCTAAGTTCAATTTCCTTGTATTTCCTTCTTCACGTGGGGGCAAAAAGAGCCGGTGAAGCATACGCGAGCTGACCGTTGCCATGGTCATCTTCAATCTCCCAAAGCCCAGCACCAGCACCAGCACCAGAGGAACAAACGTAGTAGTAGAAGAAGGAGAATTAATCACACAAAGTTGTGGGTTCTCTACCTGGTCTCTCCGACATCCCTAAGCTATCTTTTCCTCATCTTTCTCACCAATGTACGGCATTCCCCTCCACAATTCAGCCCCCTTGATGACCTAACTAAAAGAGTTCTATCCCCTATCATCGCAAAGCGTTAAAACTCACGATTGGGATAGCCGTACAATTGGTAAGCCATATACGGTGTTCGATGAGCCACCGAGGAAAGTCATACCAGATTCATGTGAGATCCATCACAAGACCCAACTCATGCAACTGACCGGCATATGATTTCTGTCCTACAATGGCGAGAAGAATCGGGGGGGCGGTCTCGGTCCGAAGAGCACGAAGCAGATAAGCAAGGATCGCTCCGTGCCGCCAGAGACGAGTGCCGAGGTAGTGGCATAAGTACGAATATTTATGGACACACTTAGCTACTACGTCTCGAGATTAGTGAATTGATTAGGAAATTAGGATTCGATTAAATAAAGGCTTATCTGAAAAGCGTCTTTGAGAGGGTTCGAAATCGTTCTCGGCGTTCTCACTTGGGTTCCCGTTCTTAAGTTAGCTTCGCCGTGGATGGAGAGTTTGATGGATTGCCTTATCTCTCGTATAATTTTTTGTGGATTTCGTTGTGTTACCCACACATGTGAGTCTCCCATCGCCATAGCTTGCAGGTGCAGCTGAGAGTTTGGGTTTTTTGGAGTTGGGTTGTTGAGCTGTGATCGAGGTTGGGGAGCACTATGGCGTGTGCAAGTGCAGCAGCGGTGGCGGCAGCTTCATCTGGATTGCAGGTTTGCGAAGCAAGCTCCAGGATGGGCATCAGCGTCGTGTCGCTCAAAGCCTCCCCTGGCCAAGTGATATGCCTCCCGCGCACCCTTTCTCTCAAAGACCCCACCAAGAAGGTGCGTGCTGTAATGCCTCAATCGATTGCTGCTCTTCAATGCCTGCTCTGCGTGATTCTCCTTTCATCGAGATTATACCCACCTGCAGAGCAAAATGTGTTTGGCCTCAGGATTTGCTGTATTTTGCAAATGGGGTTTCAAGCTGTGAGAGCATGTAAAGAGGAATTAGAGTGCTGGGTGGACGCTGTAACAAGCTCTGCGACGATGGTCAAACATAGAGATCGACTCGTCAAGTTATTACTTGGTTGCTCCTTCAGTTTTGGATACTCTCCAGGGGCTCCGATCAAGTATAACCTGTAGGATAGTCACTTATTAATCAAATCCCTTGTGCTGCAGGTTCAGATGTTTGGAGGTAGGCAGGGCACATATGACTTGGTGAAGAGGTTCCATCCGATTCGGGCTCAAGCCGTGGACAACGAGCTTGCCTCGTACGTGCTCACTCCCGCATTTCATTTTCCGACCTTCTCCGTTTTTTGATAACTCGACATCGAATTTCTCCGTATGTGATACACCGAGCTATGTATGATCTTGTATACTTCTTCGCAAATACCTTTAATGGTTTTAAGGCTCCGGAAGCATGAACTTGCAAGTATTATACCTGGCTTGGGTTTTAGGTTTAGGAGGGATCCGGCTCTTGACAAATATTAGTATAGTTCCCAAGAGGATGTCTTTCTATGGAAACTTATTTCGAAATGTTGAGATATGCAATTGAGTGCAATTTGTTTCTAGTTTAGAATTTTAGATGAGTGTGAACTCAAAGGAGGTTTGTTCTTACTTTGAAACCAATTCTCTCTTTGGCTGTTGCAGTGAGGAGCCTTCAGGTTCTGGTGCTCCCCAGGTTGGATAACCTTGTGGATGATAACCTCACTTGGTTTATCGGAGAAATAGAAATGCTTGAAACACGAGATGTCTTCGTCTGTACCCATTCTTAGAGGATAGCAACGAAGTGCAGAGCAACGGTGGTTCTACTGAGAGCACTTCATGAATACGCGATTCTCGAAGGGATCTCCATTTGACATGTATTTCTGACTGATTCGTTGCAGAAAACGACGTATTATTATTTGATTGCGAATGCTAAGTTTATGTTGGACGATGAAGAGCACTTCCAAGAGCAGATGAGTGAGAAGTTGCGTATGTACGGAGAGCGCAACAAGGAGCAGGACTTCTGGATGGTTATAGAACCCGAATGGCTTGATAAGCACCCGGAGATTGCCCAGCGAGTAGGCAGACCAGCTGCTGCCCTTGTATCAACTGACAAAATCTGGATCACGTGGGTTTTTTACATCACCACTGAATCCTTGTTAATGTTGATATTTAGTTTCGTATATATCTCTTTTGAAATCCTCTTGAATAATGTCCAGATGAAGCCAGGTTACTTGGGTTTGTCTTCTGCACCAATTCTATCTCGCTTACTGTGAATTGAATTACTCTTGCATGTTGAACGCCGGTGATGGAATGGTCTCAGGTTCATGAAGCTGAGGCTGGACAGAGTACTGAAAGGCGAACTCACCGTGGACAGTCCGAAGGAGGCGTTGACAGGCAAGCTCACCACTGTGAAGTTTGAGAGACCAGCTAAGTGGATTGCCCCTTACCCGAAATATGAGGGCGAATGGTGGACTCCTTTCTTGTACAAGGAAAATTAAATTAGTCCTTGTATTTGGTGAAGTGGATTTTGCAGTTAGGGTTGGAATTATAAATGTAGACTTGAAGGATAGGTCGCTCTGGACGTTGCCAGATCAATTTGTTTTTTTTGGGGGGCCAGTTATTTGTGAACAAGGCAGAAATATCAACTGCGGGTACCAATGATACAAGGCAAAGGTGGTATTGTAGCATCGTTGAGAGGTTTATGTTGTGTCGGGGATCATGAGGATTTGTCTTGTGTAGTTCTCCTTAATTAGATCAGTTGAGTGCTCCTGGCTCTAAATTGAGGACATTAGCTTTACCCCTAAAAGCTGTAGTTGGGGTTTCCCAGGGCCGGTTAGTTCAGCTATCAGACGAGAACCAAAGCAGGGTTTGTGACTGAGGCCCTCCTACGTCGATGTTATGAATAATTTGATTGCATGCAAGAGGAGTTTTTGCTGGATCACTTTCAGTTGTCAGTTCTCTTTGCTTGGTTCTCAAATTCGGCAAAGCACCATGTGTACACGCAATCAACAAGTAACTTGTAGCACATTGGCTATTCCTGTAGGTCTTTTCAATGCATGTTACGGTAGAACTCAAGTGCTATACATCCGTAGAACTCAAGTGCTATACATCCATAGAACTGTTGGAACATCCATCCCTTCTCATCATCTATACTAGATGATCAATGATATGGATGAACTGAGATCCGGACTTAGTGCCAAATACTCAGGTTAATAGATTTGCAACTATTGTAGATCTTTATGAGCTTGTCAATATTCTAAGAGTGGAAATCTCACATATTTTCAACATGAATCATGGAGGTACTATACCTATGCCTATGGAAGAAGTTCAAAGTCTACAACAAAAAAATTTGTTGTTAAAAGGAAGCAAGTAGATTCACCTCACAACCAAATCTAAGGAATTTCGCTTCTATAAGTATGATAGAAACAAGGATTAGTATGCTTGAGAAGTTTAATGGAATAAGATCAAAATTTTGAGGATTTTTTCAAGAAGTCAAGTTCTATCTAAGATTGCATTCTTTCCAATACCTTGATGGATTTACTCAAGTTGGATTCATAGGCACACTTCTATCAGGAAGTACTCTCTCTTGGTTTGCATCTTTAATAAAAAAAGATTTGCAACTATTTTATGATTTGAATTCATTCCTAGAAGTGTTTATAGCTATATTTGGAGAAAGAGATCAAGAAAGAGTAGCAAAGACCAAGTTCTTATCTTTATAGCAAAGATCATGGTCAGCCACCATATATGCTGCTGAATTCCAAAACCTTGCTTGCGATTTGGATTGGAATGACAAAGCCCTTATTAATCAATTTTGATATGGATTAAAGGATAATATTAAAGACTTATTATTGAAAATATCAAAGACAAAAATTTTGGAACAATTTATTGTTCAAGCCATTGCATACGACAATTGATTATTTGAAATACGTCAAGAACAAAGATATGGTTGAAGAAGAAAAATTAAATAATGAAGGCAGTTCTTAAGTTTTTAGAAACTTATTTATCAAAGTTAGAATCAATGCAAATTAATACAATATATTTTAAATCCCTTACAAAACAAAAAAAGAGTTAACGATATTAAGAGGGCTTATGCTTATATTAAGGAGAAGCTAAATATATTACTCAATATTGTCCAAAGAATAATAAAATTACAAAATGAGAAGCATGATTGCTACAGAAGACAATGTGTTAGAAAACAAATTGCTCCAACAACAATAAGGACCATGCAATTGAAATCATGTACAGCATTCAGTAAAGGTCATATTCTTCTCTTTGATCCCTCACCTTATTTTATAATAGAAGTTTGTTTAGGACAAAAAAATCACAAAATCTTAGCCTTATTGGGTTCAAGAGTCTCAACTTGTTTTATAGATGAAGACTTTGTCAAAAAATAAGTTATATTCTTAATTGAAAAAATTAAACTTGTGTATGTAAAAATAATAGATAGACATTCATTATCTTCTGGAGATGTTACACATAAAATTCTTCCTATAGAAGTAGCAACTAGTGGTTAAAATAATTTAGTAATATTTAATGTAATTAAGTCTCTTTCCAACTCAATTATTTTAGGATTATCGTGGTTAAAAAGATATAACCCTCACATAGACTGGATTTCTCGCAATCTTGATTTTTTCCATAGTTTAGCCCAAGGTCCTGCTAGGCAAATAGAAATCTTTAAGTCTAGTATATTCAAATCCTTATTAGTAGGTGCAAAAGCTTTGATGCATGCCACAAATAAAGGGCCATCTTTTACTATATATGCCATGCCTATTATTGATAGTGAGAAGATATGAAGTGGTATTTCTATCTAGTATCAAGATTTTAAAGATGTTTTTGAAAAAAAAAATACAAATATTCTTTCAAAGCATCCTCTTTGTGATTGTATCATTGATCTTTAAAAAAAAATTCAACCACCATTTGGACCAATCTATAGCCTATCACAAAATGAATTAGCTATATTCAAAGAATATATTGATGAAAATTTGGCTAAGAACTTTATAAGCCATTCTAAATCTCCAACTAGTGCTCCTATCTTATTTGTGAAGAAAAAAGACGGATATCTGTGGATGTATGTCGACTATTGAGGACTTAACAAGATCACTATCAGGAATAGGTATCTTGTACCTTTGATTTTAGGATTTTTTTATCAATTAAATCAAGCAAAGATCTATACAAAAATAGATCTACAAAGAGTATATAACTTGATTCACATCAAACAAGGAGATGAATGGAAAACTACTTTTCAAAATAGGTATAGACATTATGAATATAATGTCATGCCTTTTGGACTCACAAATGCACTAGCTGCTTTCTAACATCTAATGAATGATGTTTTTGGTGAGTTTTTTTATGATTTTGTTGTCTATAATTTGGATGATATTTTAATATTCATACTACTAAAATCATAAGCCCTATCAAAAGTCAACTATACTTTTCCTTTTCCTTTTCCTTTTATTGTGACTTTTTATTTTTATATTTACTACAACTTTTACTTTTACTGTAGATATGACTTTTACTTTTACTTTTACTTTTTTTGACTGCGCGGTTGACTGCTCCGTTTATTACTGCGCAATTTTGAAATTTGAACGTTGAGTTTGTGGGTATGTGCAATCCAAAGTGTGTGTTACAATTTGAGCTTACCCAAAACAAATTTGAAACTCTTGATTACAATTTTGAAGCTCTTGATTACAAATTTGATGTTCAAAACATTTTTTGGATTGTGCACTTCAAAATTGAGTTGTAAATTGTGAGTTGTAAGTTGGAAGTTGTAAGTTGGAAGTTGTAAGTTGTAAGTTGTGAAGTTGGAGTTGGAGTTGGTTGATGTGATCTTGGAGGTTTGAATACAAAGTTGGAGTTGGAGTTGGAGTTACAAAGTTCAAGTTGTGGAGATTGTTCAAGAAATTTGAGGTGAGATTGCAATTTTTGCAAGATTGTGAAAGATTGAAAGGTTTTGAAAGATTGAAATTTTTGGTAATTTTTGATTTTGGGTAATCATAAAATCAAGTTTTCAAACATTAAACTTTCAAATCAAGTTGAAATTTAGTGGTTTTAGTTGCAAAAAACCAAACAAAAAACAAAAAACATCAAGGACTCAAAAACGAGCAGCTGCTGTTCTCTGATGTGCACATCGCCAAAACTTTTACTTTTACTTTTTTAACTTTTTTTTTTTTTGCCCAACAATTTTTCATCCACTACATTTTTTCATCCACTGCATGGTTTTCATCTGCTATGCGATTTTTCATCCATTGTGGATGAAACTGTATTTTGGGCAGAATTCATTTAACAGTGAGTTAATATCTCCCAAAATACTAATTATTTTTGAATTCCGACTTCGGATTTGGACTTTTAAGGTGCATTTTCATTTAGTAGGAAAGAAAATGATTTGTGACAAAAGTTTTCAAAAATCGACATTTTTAAGTGTCTTCAAAAAAAAAAATTTAGAGTCTAAACTTTGGAGGTAGAGTATGGCTTGAGAATATGTTCATCACATTTATTTTCATGCATGTTTTTTGTGTGTTAGATCAATACCTCTTGGCTACGAATGTGTTGCAAAGCAAGCGCCAACCTAATCTATTTTTTTTCTTTGAAGTGTAGTGCATTGAACGTAAACTTTTTAGAGTGGAATGAAATTTCATCAAAAGGTGCAACTTTCTTGGAGCACAAGCTTACAAAGGTACTATCAAAAACCTTACTTTTGTGAGTTTTGAAATGGTTTGGGATTCACATTAGGATTTTTGTTATCCTACATTAAACTCTGCTTTTTCTTATCATTTTTTTCAATCTTTGTGGAGTTTAGGATTTAGGGTAGGATTTCTTCTATCCTACACTAAATCCTATTTATTGATATATCTTTTTATCTTTGTGGAGTTTAGAATTTATGATAGGGTCTTCATTCTCCTATCCTAAATTCCACTTTTTTTTATTATATTGTCATCTTTCTAGAGAATGGCTCGTGCTTTGTCTACCATTGATAATTTTGTAGATGTCAATGTTGATAGTGTTGGATCAATGTGCATCCAATGTCCAAAATGTTTGGCTTTTCGTTTTAAAAAAGAAAAAAATATCATTTGTTGTTACAATGGCAAAATTGCTAATGAACATGTTAATCACCCCATTGTCCATCTAATGCTCAATGAGCTTTATATGGACACAACACCTAAATCTCGAGAGTTCTTTAAATCCATTCGAAAGTATAATCAAGCTTTTGCATTTACAAGTATGCGTAGTAAGTTTCAGTCTGGCCAAGTTGAAGGTAGAGGGGTATATACTTTTTGTGTGAATAGAGAGTTATGCCATTACATTGGAAATTTACAACCTGATTTAGACGAAGGTGCTAGATTTGCACAAATTTATTTCTTGGATGATGGTTTACAAACAAATCGTCGTATGGAGATTTTTGATGATCTTCATCGTGATGTTATTAACAACATTCAAGAAGTTTTAGAATCCATAAATGCGTTGGTTCGTGGTTTTAAGTCTTCGCGTGATGTTCTTCAAAGGGGACAAAACATGGGACTTCGTATCTCCGGTGAGATTCCTTTTAGTAAACATCCCCGTCGATATAATTGCCAAGTAGTTCCAGAAGTTGCTGCTGTTGTTCTTGATGAACAATACATGAATTTTGGTAGAGATATTATTCTTCACCAACGTGGTGGAGATTTAATACGAATAAAAGAAATTCATCTAGCTTACGATGCTTTATCCTATCCTTTGTTGTTTCCTGATGGGCGATGTGGGTGGTCACCAACTTTTAAAGCAGATACTGGAGTGACTTTAAAGTCATATGTCCAATATTTGCTTCAAAAGCGCCCAGAATCTAATGTATTACATAAGGCTGGTAGATTATTCCAGCAATATGTAGTGGATCAATATTTACGTGTAGAATATGAAAATTTGCTTTTCATTAGGCAACATCAAACTGAACTTTGTGCAGAGTGCTAT